CAACGCATGCACAAAGAGGATATTATCCCCGAGACCTCTCGCCTCATCGCCCGGTTCCATGTGCGTGAGCCAGGGGATGTTCGTGTCCCATCCTATTTCCAGATATCTTAGACCGGTCGCGTGCTCGGATAGGTTGTGGAGGAGGATGATCCACGACCAGATGGTGGAGCTGGAGTTACTCCAGGGAACGAAGATGTGGAGGGAGCGGAGGAGGGAGGTGTTGAGCGGTCCGATGGATGTGAGGTGGTGGTGTAGTGGAGTTGGGTGGGTTGTTGAGAAGGTGTTGTGCGTGTATAGGATGGGGAGGGCTTCGGCGTGGATTTGTTTGCAGGTTAGGAGAATTGAGGGGTGGAGGTTGTTGGTTTTGTTGTTGTGGTGGTGGAGGTGGATTGGGTTCTGGGTTGAGAGTTGTGGTCGGTTGTTGGTGATGTTGTCGGCGATGGAGAGGGTTCGGCGGTGGTGGTGCTTGTTGGTTAGGAGGTGGGTGTAGATGAGGAGACGGAGTTCCGGGGGAAGAGTTAAGAAGAGGTTTGGTTTTGGTGGTGGTGGTGGTGGAGCTGGAACTGCAGCTGGCTCTGGATATTCTAGGAGTATAGTAGATGAGTAAAGACTAGGGAGTGTTGTTTTGAAAGTTGGAAGTTTACGAGTTAAGGGGGGTCGTGGTGATGGAATAGGGTCATGGAAATTGTAGAAGGGTACTTTGGTGACATCTTCCACTGAGATGGCCATGATGGTGCTGTGCTGTGCTGGCCTACATTGCGAGTTCCAACTGTCCTTACGATAGATAGATAAATCCAGACAGAATGTTGGGCCGGAGAATATCGGTGAGATTGAGCGCTATCACATGATAGTACACCGGTTCCCTGGAAGGGCTATATACTTCCGGAATATACTCTACCAAGTAAGTTCGGAAGATCGTACCCGTATCATCGTTTCTACCGACTGTCCTATGATGATAGCCAATAGCAGGCACTTACTTTATCTACGATATGATCATTGACGGGAAAGATCTCCGTCCTCTTAAAAAGCTACAAATGCCGACTGCCGCAGACCGACATTGATTACTACTAACTCAAGTCCTCGCATGTTCGGCAATGCATTTCATCGCAAAACATGGTCGGAGAATTCTAGCGTGTCAAAAAGCAGAATACTAAATTATAATTATCATGATGTTGCGAAGTTTTAATCGTGTTAGCCTAGTGTTTGCAGTGTAATCTTAGTCTAAGTATTGAAAATCTCGTCGCCATCAGCGATACCGCATACTTCCTAGCGTATACTCAGCAAAGCTTATTCTTCCTCATATGTTCCAGAGCTTTACTAATGGGTAGTTTTGAAGGTTCCATGGAGAAATTGTTCCCAGAATGGCAGCACCGAGTACAACCGGACAGGGTTATAACCAACCGTTGAGTCGCAAACCCATCATAAAACCTAGATTTGTCGAGCCATCAGCTTTAATATCCACTTCCTCCAAGTCACGCAGGACTTTCTCAATGTAATCGCCGGCCCCGCTAAGTTTCAGAATATGTGCAATGGCGCAGTGGACACGGAGAAGTCTGGGGTCTGGTGGCTCAATCCTCCCATTAGGACTAAGGCTCGGAGTACGAGTGACGGGGAAGAGCGGGTCGCGCAGGAATGAAGTTTCAGACGAGTCGATCTTATATTCATGTGGCCTTCCTGTGGGTTCGAAATAGATTTGGAACTCAACAAACAGTCGATGATAATGGTTGGTCAGTGTAAGAGCATTGAAAGGTCTGTCAATATTTAGTCCATCAAGAAGGTGACTGAGCCCAGGATCAAACATATCCAGTATCCGAAACACATTCATCCTTGCCTCACTCTTGGAAAGATTAGTAGCAACTGTTGACGACGGACGTACCAACTCTGACTCTTCCTGCGCCATTGCCAAATTGTGAGGGATGATGTGCGCGACTTCCAGATACTGGAATCCTCCCTGTAATCCACTGCTCAAAAGGTTTCCATCGTCGTCTCTACAGCTATCCCCATCCTGTGCGTTGCGCTTCTTGGCTTCGGCTATATCGAATTTGCGGGATATCACGCACCGGTGATGATCACGTACAAGACAGTTCTTCCGTAAGATTGACACACGCTGTCTGGTGTCTACTGGCGTAGATGTTTGACTCACGGATACTGCTGCCGGTGTTGCTTGTGGCGTTTTCATTGATGAAAGCCTGACTAAGTGACTGCATTAGTAGGGTAGAGGTTCCAGAGGATAGGGAGTAGTCATACGTGGAAGGAGAAAGTTGTCAACAATATACTCAGCGAAACCTTCGAGAGCACCCTTTATACGCGTCGATTTGCTTGAATCTATACCTTCTGTGAAGGACTCAAGGTAAGACAGAACAGCAGCCATATCAACATCCCCTGTTTCTTCAGGGACTTCGAGGCTCTCATATATAGATGAAAAGAAGAATTCTAGAAACGCGTCCTTGGATGTCACCCGTTCAAACATCTCCAAAATGAGTTTTGCGGGCTTGTATCCCCTCGGTACACGTTGGCCAAGGCCATATTCCTGGATGAAGAGATGCAGAAACGCATGGGCCGCGTTGTTATTTTGTGGAGTTACTTGAAAAGCTGAGGAGGGATCCATAAGGTTCTCAAGATGGTTGATGTTGGCGTTAGGTCATGGTTATAGTTAAGATAGATACTAGTACAGAACCAGTCACAGAGGGATTGACCACTCGTCGTAACAGATGGCCATCACGTGGGGAAAGTGAAGGACTGGTCCAAACCAGACCCATTCGTCTGTTCGCTTTCACTGTGCATTCGAGAGCGCTTATTCGTAATATTTCGAGATTATAGGGTGTACAGATATCACTGCTACGAGAAAAGGTAGATATGGTTTGACAGATCATTTCGTATCATTTTGCTATGCTAAAAATGTGGAATAGAAAAAAAGGATTGAGCAACTCCATACTCTAACACACCAACATTAAAGTGTAAAAGAGGGGGCACCTTTCAGACCTCCTCGACACCCACCAAGTCCGACCGACCGAAGTCAAGACATCATGACAAGGTAAAGATCATCACCACTCCCTGGACCATCGCACCGACACCCGAAACAAGTCTACCGAGAGATAGATCGTAACAGAGCGTGCAAATGCAAAGTCGAGTCGGAAGTAAAACGGCTTCACTTTAGGGCATCGAGGACATAGCAGTCATCAGCAAGGGTGGAGATTCTGTGGCTCTTTAGAAGAGCTCAGAGGTGGGACGTCTACTCTAAAGTGATTCTTTGAACTGTAGGCAGAAAGTGGTTAGCTGATGATTCTCCAAAGTTGCATTGTGGAAGGCTGAAAGGCTCTTCCCAATGTTAGGGGGGAGGGAGACTAACGTAGAGTCGCTTAATTTTCTAAATGAATGGGGGGAAGGAGCCTTTTATATCTGCGCGGTGGACGCTCGCTTACGCTAGCCACTAGCGAGGTCATGTGTTTCGCCCGTTTTTGCTTGCTGTGGGACTGGGTTGTCCAATCAGCGCCCGTGAAAACTCTTTCCTTCTACCGGCCAGACCGTCACTTGGAGGTAGAATTCGCGTGTTACTGCTTCATGAAGCTTTCATTGCCTGTTTCTTTGACTAACAATTATTATTTTCAGCTACTGGTTAGTCCCGGACGGAACTTGCCTTCATGGTTGTGCCGCAGTAAAGCCGATGCATTTGGTGCCTGAGGATGGTAAGTATATCTATGAATCCGTTCGGCACAACCACTTTCATAAGTTACTATGCTTCAAATTTGTACTTTGTATACAATGGACTCCAACAACACCAGTCCTACATCCTACTCCAAACCTCTCCGTTCCCCAACGAGTAACACTATAGCGATCTTTTCTAGGAGAATTCGCGACACGTGCCCTGGCTGCATCTGACTTCAGCGCAAAATTCGGTCTTGGTCTCAGCTAGTAGTAGTCACTATTTAAGTCAATACGGCATTCATCCTGAGACGATGATACCTCTGCGGACAAAAGACCTAGAAAAAGTCATCTAATTTACACATGGTGTATACAGGGTTGGAATCTGCTACCCGAAACAGTCTGTTTCTACTAGATTGACTGTCGGCTACCCTGCCGGGTAGCTTAGTATGGCTCATTTTTCAGTCTACATGGTGTCCCGATGAACGTATCAGGATCGCACCCCCTACAGCCATGACCGTTTGAGATTGATAGCCACTTCACCCCCACAGCACAGACTCTGCCATAGTTATACTTCCGGCATGTGGTCTATCTTCCGGGCACCAGGGTCCTTGTGCTACAGGGTCTGCTTCTTGGAGAAATGATGTAACAAGTTCCGAGGTTTATCCTGTCATGGAATACCAAGGTCATCGCTCGGCTATAGTTATCGGGAATTAGGTCAGAGACAAAGCATGCTAGGCGGCAGTCCCTTGTTGCAGCTGCTTGCAGGCATTGCTTTGCATTCCTCTAGATGAAGGTCTGGTGTATATCCTTAGTACAACTCTAATCGTAAGCTGCAGGGATAATCTTATAGTCTACGAGGAGAATAATGAAGAATTGAAAAAGTTCATTATGTGATAAAGGCCTTAGTATAACATGCAGACTTTCGGGGAAAACTCACTTCCTTGGATAAAGTAGAGAGTATCGACAGAGTTGCGCGGGTACGAGTTTCCGATGTAGAATAAGGCTAACATTGTTATTTGTGCGAACTGCACTGGCAATAAAGTTCGAATTAGGCGTTTTAAAGCCCGTTTCACGATCGACCCCCCGGGGTGAACAAGGCACAGACATCTTCCTGTTCGTTCATCCATCATGATCGTCCCCGTTCCTGCTCCGCCATTACCCAAGAATCGGTCGACTAGGGTCCTGGTGATCAGCAGTCCCTGATGCTTATACTTCCGTCGGGCTCCAGCGGCCAATCTTCCCACCAAAGAGAGCAACTCATCCAATGTTTCGACCAAAATTCGAGGCGGGTTGGAATTTTCCAGATCCCGAATGAACTTACAATCAACCAGGCGCTACATCACATTGTTTCAGAGAGACTGAACAGGTGCATCATCGATAGGCTATCAATGTCTTCCGGATCCATGCCAGCCTTGACGGCCCGAGCAGCCAAAGGTATATAAACCTCTTCCTTGCCCACTGAATAGTTTCTATCATCATCAGCATCGCATCCCATCGCATCTTAATCTTATACTCTCAAACTCTCAACATCTAAAAGCAAATCAGCTTCTTAACCAGCAAAATGAAGTTCACCGTCGGTTCTGCTATGGTGGCTACCACCTTCCTCTCCGCTGCGAACGCCGCTTTCCCCTCCATCCCCAACATCCCCGAGACCTGCTTGGAGATCCCCCAGGTCATTGGCAACAAGCCTCTCCAGCTGCTCTCCTACTTCCACAAGGAGGTCTGTGAGAAGAACTGCACTGCCACCATCAACCAGCACAACCAGTACCTCCAGGAGTCGGTCTTCCCCCAGATCATGAAGGATCTGGACCAGAAGCTGGACGTGCCCGCCTCCGAGCAGGCCTCTTTCCAGAAGATCCAGACTCAGATCAACTCCGCCATCGAGAAGGACTGCAAGTCTGAAGGCGACAAGCCCCTGTGCAATGACCTCGAGGGTCTGGCCAGCTACGGCCTCTGCGCGCTCAAGGCTAGCCAGCCCATCATCTTGAACAACATTGGCCAGCTCCAGGGCTCCATGAACATCACCGACGCCGACTGCACCAAGATCAAGCAGATCGACTCTGATGCGACTGTCTGGCAGAAGACCCTGCCCAGTTACATTGACAAGTTCGCTCAGGAGTGTGAGAGCGAGAAGTCGAACTAGAGGTGAGGCAGTTTGCTAATCCAATGCAAGCCCTGCTAACTGTTATCATCAAGGTTCGCGAGACCAAATCTTGGGTGATAGAAGCTTGCTATGTCGCAGGGACGTATAGTGTTAGGAGATCGGGAATCTTTGGCTTTTTGGATTTAGTCTGACGCTGTAGCAGCATCTGGGATGCTTGCCGTCGCTCCTTTGGACGCGTCGAATCGCAATGAGGAATGTCATTGTGAGTGCCAGATATTGAAAGAATTTCTGTCGGGTACTCTAGTTTAGATTGTGAAATGTGATATTTTTGTTTTTTTCTGTCCTCCGTACCTGCAGTGAAATGTCGATCATAATTTGCTGGTGCCTGAAATTCGGGGTTGAACCCCTGGCGCTCACGTGCCTGAGGATCATCCGCGGCGGCTTCCGAATTGCTGCTTATCTCCATCCGATAACTTCATCCGATAGTGTTCCCTTACCAACACCATCAAATAACAATCTCCACACACTCTTTTCATTCCCCTTCAGACTGTCGTGGCACAATGCGGGGTGCTTCCAGTCTATCTCCTTGCAGAAAGCACCCTTGCCAGCCCCCGAACGAACCTCTCTGAGATTGGATCTACTTCACCGAACATCAGTGGCATCACGGGCACCCCAGACGGATCCACTGAGCATCTCGGCATGCCATCCTCGGTACCATGCCCCGCCCTAAAGTACACCCAGCCAACCGCCTAAGAGCCTACGAAGCTTGCAATGCATGCAGGTCAACGAAAAAGCGATGCAGTGGGACATTTCCATGTTCGAAGTGTATCAGGCTCGGACGCGCCGATACATGCGTGCCGAGTCCACGGTCCGCTGCTCAACGGCCGACTGCAAACACCCGAATCTCCGGCAATAGCAATGCAAGCTATGATTCTGGGCGTCGACCAACCACAACTCTCAGTGCAGGTAGCTTGGCAGGTCGGGTAGATTCCGCTAGCATCGAGGCTTCGGAGCCGAGTCGATCGACGGTAGATACTCAGCCTATGTCCCCAGAAACATTACATAGGACTCATCCACGGATGCTCCGCAATCTCCGTGGCGAACGAGGTAATATAGCACTAACTGGTTATATCAAGTGCTGTAGCTAATCCGCTTCCGGCAGTCTATGTGGGAAAGGCTGCCTCCTTGTCCTTTCTGCAACTAGTCCGGGACACTGTATCACAGTATATTGGGCCATCGCAATTCTCGCACAATGTGAAAAGCGAGGATATGCTAGAGATGGAGACACCGCATGGAACACCACCAACGCTAGAGAGTAGTCTGGACTCATATCAGCTACTCCAGTACTATCAGACATATAGCTCTGCTACGAGTGGCTTCATCTACGTCTTGTCAAGTGCAGAGGCTATGGAAGTTCTTGATGCTTTAATTGAGCCCAGCACACATCCAGACAGGACAGAAATGGCTGTTGCAGGTATGATAATTGCTATCGGGGCACAGGCCAGCAAACGCACTGTATCGACCGAGCAAGCTGAGCGCTATTTCTTCTCCCGTGCTCAACGCAGCGCCTTTGAGGGGATGTTGGAAAACCCCAGCTTGACTCTGATACGTTTATTCCTGTTGATGTCCTTCTACATGCTCGGTGCTTGTCGTCGAAATGCTGCCTTCATGTACCTTGGAGTGGCTGTTCGAGCTGCTGTGGCATTGGGTCTTCATCTTACCGAGCTCGCGGATGCCGTGCCTAGCCCTGAGCAACACCAGAGAGCAAGGGTGTGGATGAGTGTTTACAACCTGGACCTCCTAGTAAGCTCTATCCTTGGGAGACCAGCTGCGACAGCTGCTCTGCGTTCGGAAACAGAAGATGGTCCTATCCGTTACGCACTCCTGGAAGGCCATATGTCGATTGGCTTGGTAGCCTCCTATGGGGTCTCGAGGATCTTGGAGGAGATTATCTCGTCTATGTACAGCAAGGACGGAGCCTCGGCTGAGCTCGCGGACTCGCTTTTAGCCAAACTCAAACAATGGAGCGATGAACTACCGGGGCCATTGGTGGAGCCTCCTAATCTTGACTTTGACGAACCCGCTGCGCGAACCCACATCATCAACAATCTTCACGTTGCTTGCATTTACCATTTTGCTGTAATCACGGCGACACGACCCTTCCTGGTGTCAGTATTGGGTGTGCGACTGGCGCGTTTGCACAATGACTCCGGCACATCAAGCGATCTGTTGCACGAAGATGCAGCACATTCCAATCTTGCAACTGCTTGCATCGATTCAGCCTTGTACATGATACAGACATGCTCCGAGGTGCATCGCTCTGGACTCATGCTAGGTAATATGTGCATACTGAAGGCTTTTGTATTTGCTGCCGCCTTGGTTCTCGGGTTCTCGATGTTCTCTCGAAAAGAGGCTGAGCCCTCACATGAACAGGCTTACGGGGAAGCCCTGGAGATTCTTCGTGTGCTTTCGGAGCAGTCCGCCCAGGCAGGACATTACTTTGAGATACTCAGTTGCCTGGGAAATGCCGTGGCTGAGCAGCGTCGACGACTTGTACAGCATTCCCGCCAGACCAAGGGTCGATATGTCAGTAAGCTTTTTAGTCTGGATGATCGCAGGCCATCAGTGGAGGTACAGGAAGGGCTAGACACGTCATTTAACAATGGCGTTTCTGCTATAGCCCCTGAAGCCGGCATCTCGGATCCATGGGCTGGCATACAACGCCTGGGCTTTATGGACACTTTGGAGATTGATGCGGCATTCTCTGGCCTCGACGGTATGCAGCTCCCGGTGTGGGATAGCTTTCCCTTTGTTGGCGAAGCTTTTCAGCTGCAGGGCAGAGTGGGTGATGTAACTTAATGTAGTATGAGGACGACTAATGCCGTAACTTATGATTTATTTGTGCGTCATTTGGCAGGAGCGGGTATAGCGTTCCATGGTTATTTATCAGTTGTGTACAGTTGTCCAGGGTACGCGACGTACAGACACTCCCGAGCCTTCGGGACACCTTTATTCCTACTCATCTTCTTTCTATTTGGTTTACTACCTGGTGGGTGTTGTGGTATTGACTAGATGCCGTGGCCTGTACTGGTAATGTACGTCTTCCATGGGCACCGTTTAGTAGTCGGAAAGAACAAGAGTCTGTGATATTCGAGAAAAACAAGGGAAACCATATTGCGGATATATATACATTCACCCGCCACCTACAGTACCTTTCCAATACGCACCACAACGACAGAATACTGCAAAAAGTACCAAGAAAGGTCAAGATACATATGTCTTAACATACTGCAGTGCCACAGTGACCCAAATAAAAGCAAACTCGCATATTCACCACGAGAATGAATTATTCAAAGATTCGATTCTCTTTGATGGTTGAAACTGTGGGGCAAGCGGTTAGCTAGCCTCATATTACAAATATTGTGCACTATTTTCCAACAGCTGGCCTGCTGGCCCAATGGTAAGGCGCTTGACTACGGATCAAGAGATTGCAGGTTCGAGTCCTGCGTAGGTCATTTCTTTTTGCTTTTTATATTTTGTTCCCATTGTCTGCCGACTATAAACACCTCGTTCTCTCTCTGTTCTCTTCACAACTCCAACAGCTTGGTGTCGCCGAACGTACCATCACACTTCTAAAGTTCGTTGCAGTCAAGCAGTGCATGAGGTAGAGTATGGCTCGTGTCAACCCCGCACAAAATTTTTCTTTATTCCTAGACCCTACATATGCGCATGAGCTGCATACTGACTCGTGTGAGTGATGCCTGACGAAGGTTGTCAATGTCCGTCCGTCAGCCAGCCTCTGCACGCACCATGCTGCAGGATGCCCGCGAGACAACTCATTTGCCAATAATATCCGTCCTTTCATTTCCGACCCCTCCCAAAGGCTTCACGCGCTACAGTGAACTACTAGTTTAGATGGTGGTTGGTGGCTGTTTCGTCTCCACCTTCGCAGCTCCAGCGGCCCGCCGAGCGGGTCGTAGATGCATCGTGTCTTACTATCAGAGAAGCCTGATTTGTCTGCAACTCTCCCTACAACAGCTGGGGAGTATGCTAATCCTCGCCGGTCTTCCTATTCCCCGCCCAATACTAGATGATGCCGTTGGTTAGCATGCGACTGGCGAATAATTCTCCTACGACTGCAGCCACTCCCGTTGGTGCATGTAACCGGCGACGATTGAGGATGGCGATGATGAGTTACGGTTGATGAAATTTCTCTCCACTCTTAGGGGCTGAGAGAAATGCACCAAGGGGGTGCCATGGTCTCACCAGCCGTTACAGCAGATGCGCCGAGCAAGTCTATGGCATCGTGCATAGACGTTCTAACGGCGACCGGCCTGGATCAGCTCGTCCTCACCTCCCTCCCCACGCCGATCACCGAGTCATGACCTTCATGGATGGCATTCATTCATCACGACAGACCATCTCAGCCAATGTATACCCTGTCACAAATTGGGTCCTCGGCAGCCGTGCAGCTAGTTGACGCTCAGCTATGCGTCTGCTATCACCCCCGATGCTGATACGGCTGAAATGAGGAGCACAAGTGTATGCACGACCCCCTCTTGACCCCGCAACATATGAAATGCAATATATCGTGCAGAGACAAGGGTGCGCCTGCACTCCATACTTATGAGGGCATCCCCGTCCAAAGGACCCAGTCCTGCTGTTCCCATCAAGACCAGCACACCGACGGACCGCTGAATCATGTCCCTGCTAGTGAGAGCCATTGTTGGCCTGCTTGGCCTTGTCATTCTCAAGTCCTTCTTGACCCGCAAAAGGTTTCCGGCCCCACTCCCTCCGGGCCCGAAGCCAAAGCCGATCATCGGGAACCTGCTCGACCTACCAGCCAATGGAGAAGCAGATTGGCTGCATTGGTACAAGCACAAGAAGACCTATGGTGCGTACAGTACTGACACAAATGTGCCTATTCACAGCTAACGATATCTGTAGGCCCCATCAGCTCGGTACAGGTCTTTGGAGAGACCCTCATAATCGTTAATGATGCCCAGGTTGCGGTTGAGTTGTTAGAGAAGCGTTCAGCTTCACACTCAGACCGACCTAGCTTGACATTTATCGAGATGTTTGCAACCACCGTCTCAAGACCCGGTTAATTCAATGCTAACAGGTGGCTAGGTGCGGATTTAAGGATTTGTTCAGTCTGAGGAACAACAACGACCCGCGTGTCCGGACTGAGCGGAAGCTATTCTATCAACAAATTGGTTCAAACAATTCTGTTGCGCGGTTCAATCATATCCAAGAGGCCGAAGTTGGTCGTACCCTGCTTCGGGTGCGTGATAACCCCGAAGGTCTGCAGGACCACATCCGGAAGTATGCCTGCCATATTAGGTCCTTGAGATGCACCAGAGCTAACGGTTATATACAGACAAGCAGCGGCAATCATCTTGAAGGTAGCATATGGATACAGCGTTGTGCCACATGGGGATGACCCACTGGTGGATCTTATAGCCCGGGCGATGGGAAATCTCGGCGCGGCCCTTGTTCCCGGGGTGTGGCTAGTGGATTTTATTCCATTCTGTATGCACTGTAGCTCACACAACGAGAGGAAAAGGCTGACTGGTTGATTAGTGAGGCACATCCCGGCCTGGTTTCCAGGTGCCACATTCGCACGCGTTGCAGAGACCTTCCGAGAAAGCGCCCGAGCCTGGAACTGTCAACCGTATGAATTTGTCCGGCATCAGATGTCGCAAAACAAGCACGCACCATCCTATCTATCCGGTTTACTCGAGGCGAAGGGGGTTCCAGAGCCAGGCTCCTTTGATGAAATCGTCATGAAATGGTCTGCCGCGGCAATGTACGGTGGAGGATCCGACACGGCAAGTCAACCACCCTGAACTCCGTAAACCGTATCTAACCATGAGCAGACCATATCCACTTTGGGCGGACTTTTCCTCGCGATGGTTCTCTATCCGGATGTACAGCGAAAAGCACAGGAAGAAATTGACCGAGTTGTCGGGACAGACCGTCTTCCCAGCTTCAGCGATCGCGAGAACCTGCCATATATCGACGCCATGGTTAAAGAGGCCCTCCGTTGGCATTCCGTGACCCCGATGGGGGTTGTACACAGCTCGTCGGAGGATGACATGTACGAAGGCTACTTCATCCCAAAGGGTTCCCAGATCCTGCCGAATCAATGGTGAGACCTAGCCCCTTTGCTGTCAATATCGAAGTCTATGTCTAATATCTCTTCAGGGCCTTCACCCATGACCCAGATGTTTACCCGGATCCTATGGCATTTAAACCCGAGCGATTCCTAGCAACTGAGAACCACGCCCCCGAGCGCGACCCTCATCTTCTCGCCTTCGGATTCGGCCGTCGCATCTGTCCCGGCCGCACACTGGCAGATTCCAACGTCTACCTGAGTATTGCGCAGTCGCTGGCCGTATATCGTTTCACCAAGCCCATCAAGAACGGCAAGGAAGTGGACGTAGAGCCGAAATTCCTGAACGGGGTGATCAGTCACGTGGCGCCGTTCGAGGTGGGCATTAAGCCCAGGAGTAAGCAGCACGAGGCGCTGCTGAAGGAGTTGGAGATCAAGTATCCGTGGGAAGAGGGTCACGCGGCAGAACTCAGTCAGGTGAAGTTTTGAACAGATAAGTTCCTTGCATGGCTGATCGATAATGTTTGTCAGATCATGCATGATTTATGTGCAGAGTAGTTGGGGGGGGGGGGGCATCTCCCGTTGGGCAGAATGATCAGTTTTAGTTTGTCAGATGTTACCAACAACTTAGTTATCACGGGTAGCCAGAAATTAGGCAGACAAGTCAAAACCACCCAGTTAGTTTAGGTAACCGCGACCACCAACACCAACAAAATCATTAATTAAGTCACCGTAGAATCAGCGTGACAACTATCTGACTCATCCAGCCCCATTCTGGAGCCTTAACCAATAGTTAAATGAGGCAAAGGAGATGAAACATAAGAACCGCCCAGCCACTACTACTACTACTTGTTACTTATATACCCAATAGCCTTGATCTACATACCACACTTATTGATACTTATACTGTTTACCCCCGCAATCTCGCCACTCACTCACTGTCAACCATCAACTCTAACTAACCTGACATTCTTTACTACCTACTACTTACCTGTCCATCTCTACCACAACTATACTATACTATACTATATTACAATTACATCCACATCTACATCTCCATCTACAACCACACCATACCGAACACAACAATCATGACGCTACAACTTCCATCCCCACCACCCTCACCAACACCCACCTCAAGATCAAACTCAGACTCAGGCTCAATAACCCTCCCCCGCTCACAACAAAGCATCGAAACCGATCTCGCAACCCTCGAAGCCATGATCGAGGAACTGGGCGAAGCAGGGCGGAGGGGAAGGATTGGTGGAACTGGAACTGGAGCTGGAACTGGGAGAGGACGGAGGAGGACGAGGACGAGGTGTGTGGAGAGGAGAGGGTGGAGGATGTGATGGGTGGGGCGATGAGGGTTTGTACGATTGGGGGGTGAGATGATCTACTTTGCTTTGCTTTGTTTATGTTTTGGGGGTGGGCGGTGGGTGCTTTTCTTGTTCTATCCTGTTTCAGGGGATGAATGATTGATGCCATGGGTTTTGCGCGGTGTTGGAAGGTTATTTATTGTGGATTTTGGGATTTTGAATGGGATTTTTTGGGATTTGGAGGATGGTGTTGATGATGGATATGTATATGGCTATGAATGTGGCTGTTTAGCGTGATTTTGCTTGGGGGTTTGGGTTTGGTTTTAATTGAGGATAGATGGGTGGCGAATCTGCTGCTGCTTGCTTTGGATCATAGCTATGGTGTTTGGATTGTTTACTATCGAGGGATCGCGATCATAGATCTGCTTTGGTATGGGATGATGGTAAATGTATATTGTATATGGCTTTCAGATTACTAGATATTATTACATGGATGATCCAGCTATACCCAGCTGTAGATCTGTGTTCGTGTTGTCGTATCAACGTAGATGTCGTATCAGTGCGTCGTACATGTAGCAGCCAGCTGCTACTGACATTGTTTCCCGTTTAGTATCCAATCAGTTGCATCATATCGTGCAACTGAAGAGCGATGGACATGTAAATGGTTGGTGTTATACTGTCACCATCGCGCGGTTTAGTAGCCTGACAGAGTTAGTTTGGCTCAAGCTCATTCTTATATCGATAAGCACCCACCTTGCACTCAAATTCCAAAGCAAAAAGACACAGAGAAAGATAAGCCCATGAATTAAAGCTGCACGCACGTTAGCTCACAACCCCAAGCAATAAAATCAGATGCAAACTGACCTTCATTTCCAAAAGATCTGATCATCTCCCAACGACCACGTTTCTTCATCCACAATGGAATCAGATCCTTCTGACAAGTTCTCCCCTCAATGACCAGGCACCCACCCGGGTGTGCCCTACACTCCAGATGCCGTCTTCTGCGCTCCATGATCATTCGAATCGTCTTATTACAGAAGGCCTCGTCCGTTCGGAACGAGCATTTCTCCATGGGACAATCGAGTTTCTGCGAAAAGCGCTCGACAAACCAGTCGACTTTGAGGTGAACCCCGGTGTAGACGAGAGAGTAGAAATGACGACAGGTGTGCTTCAATGCTAGTGCATCTGGGTATGGGAGAAATGTGGAGATGTGTAGATGGAGTTCTGTGGGGAGGTTCATCAAATTGAGGGAAGAAGTAGCTGGGGTTTCTTGGAGTGATGATGAGTCCATTGTGTGTGTGTGTTATTTGTTTGTGTGGAGGGTAATGTGATGTGGATGTAAAATGGAAGAAGCAAATGTAGTCTATGAAGATATGAATTGTAACCAAGCTGTGAAGGCTGAATGAATATCGTCCTATTGTTTGGATGCTCTAGACACCTTAATATCATCGGATATTTGGTTGCCTTGGGGAATTATTGAGGCAGCTTAATTGTTGCCTAGGCGCCGAAAATAAGATGCCTGATTGTGGCTATACGAGACTAGGCGGCAAGGAATTGAGCTGCTTCAAGCAAGCATTCGGAAGGTTAAATGAATAAATTGGAGATAGGATGTAGGCAGAGAACGACTGTCCTGAATACCCAATCCATTAACAGGGTTAGAGTATATCTTAAAATAGAAAGCCTAGACTTCGAGTGGACACTCCCAATATACATCAAGATTAAGCAGAGATGGGTAAGGGTGAGAGACACCACAACAACAACAAGAAGTAAGATCCGGGGATGTCCTGCAGATCCGCCCACCCCGCTTTCCCCACCGCCTGCCCTTTCTGCCGGCAAGCTTCTTTTCGCCTCCGATAACCATCGACATCAACTAAATATCAAGCTACCAACTCCAATCATCAACACATAACACACCCCAGCACCAAACAACATCTTTCATAAAAAGTACCCAAAAGGGTATACCCACAACCACAATGAGCACCAACAACAAGCAATCCTCCTCCGCCTACGGCACGCCCTCCTCCGACACGGCCTTCCGCAAAACCTGGGACCGTGAAGAATACGCCAAAAAAGCCGCCGACGACGAAGCCAAGCGCAAAGAAGAATCCAAAGCCCGGTATGAAGCCAAGCTACTAGGCAAGAAATGGCACGCTCCCGTGGATTACAGCCAACTGGAAGCCACGACATCGCGCAAAGAGCGACTCGATGTCGCCTCGATGGTTGGCAAGACGACCATTGTTGCGTCGGGATCAGCGATCGGAAAGCGAGGTCGGGGTGCGGGATTTTACTGCTCGGACTGTGACTTGACGTTCAAGGATAACTTGCAGCTTGTGGAGCATTTGAATAGCAAGCAGCATTTGATTGCGACGGGACAGAGCGGGGAGGTGACGAGGGCTACGGTGGAGGATGTGCGGGAGCGGTTGAGGATGTTGGCGTATCGGAAGCGGGTGCGCGAGGAGGAAGAGAGACGGGCTTGGCAGTTGGATCTTGGGGAGAGGCTGAAGGAGCGGGAGGAGCAGGATGCTAAGGAGAGGGAGGAGAAGAGGAGGAAGAGGAATGAGAAGCGTCGTAAGGGAGGCGATGGGATCAAGCAGGAGGATGATAGCTGGGAGGGCAGGTTGGGGATTATTGCGTAAGCTCGTGTGGTTGAGCTTGGGCATGTGCATGGTCTGTTTTGGACTTCGTGGTCATAGATGGGATGGTTTATCAGGGCTAAAAGCTGCAGTATACCCATGGCGTTTGGAGCTTGAGCATTTAATATTCGCAGACTTCCGTTTTATCCAAACAAGGAGAATATCATTGTCGCATGAGAAAGCGCAGAAATCCCATAAGCATATACCGACTGCACCGTTATCAACAGAGATTGCGGCGAAAATATTGTACCACTGAAAAAACAAGATGAACCCAAGTACCTATCCAATGCCCATTACCCGACCCGCATACTCCTAACCGATAATACCCAAGTGACTCGCTTAATCTATGCATTCTATGCCTTCCAAGACCCGCATAGCTCGAGCACCCTCTCGTTCAAACTGGCTGACTAGCCTCTCGCACTCCTGCTTGAGTTTCTCCTCTCCGTTCTTTGCGTTCCACTTGATCCATTCCTCGACGGTCATCTTCTTCTCAGGGCTTGTCAAGTCACCCTTGACACTATGTAAACCGCCAAAGTCGATGTTCTCTTTGTCACCTCCAGCCAAGATAATTCCATCAATGTCAATGGGAGTCCACGGATGGGATGTCTTCAGGGAATTTGCATTCGCCCCTCGCTTGGAGGGGGAAGGAGTGCTGGCCGCAAGTGGAATTCGAACATGCTTAGAAGGTGACGCTACTGGCGCCCGGTTCTCAGACGGTTTCAAAGACGGTGGCTGATTCTCAGCGTCAGATGATTGCGGCGACAGTGACAGAGTGCTCTTGGAAGGCGAGGGAAGAGGCGACACCGCAGCTGGCTCAGGTCCTTCTCCCGGCTGATGGTTGTCTTCCGGCGCTGGGTCGACGTGGGAATTTCGAGATTCCGCTAGTGACCTGGCATATTGCTTCTCCCTGGGAATATCACTGTATCTTTCCACCGTCTTTGGAGGAACCCTAGATGATCTGCGGCGAGCAGATGGCTGATCTGGAGTTTGATTTTGAGACTTCTCTTGCTCAAGTTGTTGCGGGGTGTCAGGCTGTTCTGGCTCGTGTGTCGCCCTGTTCTCAGCCTTGGTGTGGCTCTCTTCGTGGTCAAGTTCTACATCGACCTTCTGTTCTGCCTGCTTGGAAGCTCGCTGCTTCTCCGCCGAAGCCTTTTTCTTCGTCTTCATAGATTCCTTGTCATTCTGAGCTGCACCGACGCCTTGCTCTGAGTTCCTTGCTGGAATTTCCACAGAAACGAATGACTCATGTTCCTTCGAGTCGGCCCCAGCGTTAGTCGTAGGTTCAGGCTCTAGTTGTGTGACGGGCTGGTGAGACTCTTGGTCATGGCTGCTATGCCGAAGCTTATCGGAGACTCTTGCGCTCTGCCGTCTGCTTGTGCGGCGGGTCTGCTGAACCTCTTCGACTGGTGGTTCCGGTTTTGGTTTTGGAGCTTCCTCAGGCTCTGGAATCACCTCCTCCTGCGACCCCGGTTCTGTGCGCTGCTCTACCACTTCATTCGACGGCTCCGGATCCGCCTTGGCCTTCTTTTTCGATTTAGACTTGGACTTTTTCAACGGCTTAGTCTGAGGCTCCTCGCTTGGCTCGCCACTGGGTTTTTCCAGATCTTGGTCGACATCCATTGCTGCATCCTGCTCCTGGGTGGGAGGGATCTCCGACGCGGCTCTCGAGACGGCTGAATCCGTGGAGACCTTCCGGCTCTTGGATGTCGTTTTCTTCTTTGTTCCACGACTCTTCTTTGGCTTCTCTTCTTCGACAGGAAGATCATCCACTTGTACATCTTCATTGACGGCCTCCAGACTGCTGTCGTATTCCTGCTGTGTGCTGTTGCGTGACTTGGTGGCTCTCTTTTTGGCCGGTCGTTCAGGCTTTTCGACCGTCTCTGAGTCGACAAGTTCGGCATCGTCCTTGAGTTCGTCACTAGTTCTCTTCTTTCCCCTGGTGCGTTTCGTCTTTTTGGGTTCAGGCTGGCTGTAATCCGTGGTATCGATATCCATCTGACTGTCAGCGTCCACCACTTCTTCCTTCTTTGACTTTGTCTTCGATTTGGATTTGGAAGACTTCTTCGAGGATTTCGTTTTAGTAGTTGATTGGGACAGAGTACTCTGGTCTACCGGGTCGTCTAGTTCAGACACTGGCGCTTCCGATGCGGTGGATTGTGTGGATAGACGGGAAGCCTTCGAAACACGAGACTTTTTGGACCGGGAGCCTTTTCCTTTCTTTCCAGAGGGTTTGGCAAAGACAAAGAAGGAGCAATCTGACGAGCGACGGTAATGTTCATCACTGATCAAGTTAGCGATAGCCAGGAAGGAAGGAGCAACACAAACTCACAATGGATCATCCTTGGGTTCCCAACCATCCAGAGACAGTTTACAATACGGGCAGGTGGCCAAGTCGTTGCTCTCCTCGTTCGGACAGAAGTACCATCCACCTTCCACCATCTGTAATGCATTGCCACAGTTAGAGTCCCAAAGCGGAACCGGCACAGCAGGTACAGCAGCAACACTCAACATACCTTATCGGATTGGCAGTACCAGCCTCGCTTCCCGTCATGTGGCCATGACTCGCCAAATGTGGCTTGCCGGGCTTGCGCTATCCGCTCGCTTGTGGGATCCTCGATCTCCGCAGGGTTGGAGCTGTGCTGTTGAATATCCATCATGATAGCCCAGCCACAGTCCCGCGTGTGCTTGAGATGCTCTGTAATAGGGTTGTCGTCTTCCTCCCAGCCATCTAGTGCTCTGCGGCATAGAAAACATGTTGTGTTATCGGGGTTTGTTTCGTAAGGGTTATAGAAGAAACCTGCATGCGCAAGCTATGACGGTGTGACATATCAGTAAGTGTGCATTTCCTCAAGGTGCAGATGCCAACACCATACCTCAGCAGGAGATGGCCGGCTATGCGGCCAAGCGATCGGTTTCGCAGACTTCGCGCTGGATGACCTCCGTTTCTCGGGATACAACACCCGATCGAAACTGGCGAGGCGAGCTGCAAAGGTCTCCATTTCCTGGGCCATTGCTGCGAGAAATTCAGGACATGGGGATTGGTGGAATTGGGGGTAAAATCGAGCTGTTATCGACTAAAGCGCGAGAGTTGTTGTTCGAGGCCTACGCCCGCCGTCACAGCTCTTGTTTACGGCGTTGTTTGGGTCTCCGAAACGCGCCGCGGAGGAACGACCCCACGTGACCTGCAAGATGTGGCTTGACTGTTTTTGGGAGTTGTCTGGGGTCGGGATCGTGGCGAAGTCGGGCACTTTCCTCATCCGGGCTGCCATCGAACAGGCCGAGAACACCTGCCGAGGAGTACGTCAGACCCTCATTATTCTCATTATTGTGAACATTTGTTGTCGTCTCCTTCCCCCAGGTCTACTCTCCACTCTTCCTTGCCTTCAGTTATCTTCCTCCCAATCTGTATCGATTTGGAAGTATGGTCTAAGGCGGTCATTCTCAGATGATTCTTGACTTGATTTCTAATTACAGCCCTCGCTGTGCTCAACTTTCCCTTCCCTTGGTGGACTCGCGACAATGCGCCAAGCTACTGTAAGAAGAGACACCGGGATGCCTAGACCCTCGGAGTACACCACCCGCTAGAGACTAACAGACACCTTGCTAGACTTTCCTTCTGAACACGAACTCAGGTTATGTGCGCCTGCGTTCGATCAACCTGTCTCTCCCGCGGCATGCGCGCATCCCGGGTTCTTTTCGCTCCTTCTCGGTTGACCCCTACTCGACTTCATCATCTCACGGCATCTCTTCCCCTTCGAACCGATCCTCTTCCCATGGTGTCATAACCTCGCAGTCCGCCTCTACTGATCGTGGACTCCTGCTGCCCTCGTCTTCAGCCTCCTTCTCTACCTCCTCACAGCGGTCGGATCCCGGCGACTGGGATGCGAATCCGGACCTATCGATCTCGGCATTTTCGGAGTTACCTTCGAAAGACTTCGGGGTCAATCAGCATATGGTAATTAACCAGGAGTTCAAAGAAGCCTTGCGTCAGATTCTTTGGCAGTTCCGAGCCCCGATTCGATATGCGTTTGCCTATGGATCCGGTGTCTTCCAACAGACAGGCAGTGCGCCTGGCTCCAGTCAATGCCACCCGTCGGCCCCAGCAGCCATCAAGAACATGCAGCAGGGGCAAGGGAAAATGATTGACTTTATTTTTGGAGTATCATACTCCCAACATTGGCACTCCTTGAATCTGAGCCAGCACCGAGACCATTACTCTGGCCTGGGCTCTTTGGGCTCTTATATGGTATCCCAAGTGCAGGATCGTATCGGCGCCGGCGTCTACTTTAACCCCTACATCACAGTAAATGGCACACTGATCAAATATGGGGTCGTGAACCTTGACACACTATGCCGGGATCTCAGCCAATGGGATACCTTGTATCTTGCTGGACGGCTGCAAAAGCCGGTCAAGATCTTGCGTGACCACCCGAAGGTGCGACTGGCGAATCAAATGAACTTGCTATCCGCCGTCCGAGTAGCTCTACTGCTGCTCCCGGCCGAATTTACCGAATTCCAACTGTACAGTACCATTGCAAGCATGAGCTACATGGGTGATCTGCGCATGGCACTGCCTGCGGAAGATCCCCGCAAGGTGAACAACATTGTGTCGTCGCAGATGGCTAACTTCCGGCGACTATACGCGCCCCTGATTGAGAACTTGCCCAATGTCACGTTCAACGACAAGCGTTGCACGGAGGGCGATTGGATCGATGATCCCGAAGCCAACGTGCGCCTCACACAGGATATGGATCCGGTCAAGCGCGGTAACATGGTTCGCCGTCTGCCCGACTCCTTCCGCGAGAAGCTCTACTTCCAGTACCAAACCCGTTACCAAATTCCTCGGGTCGAATTCGACAAGATGATGAAGGAGAGCAACAACAACGACTCCGACTTGGTGCGTCGGAGACAAGGAGGTCCATTCGAACAGCGGATCGCCGATGACAAGAACCTCACGAAAGAGGTACAGACTACAATTGCAAAGACCATCCGCTGGCCCAGTACGGTGCAATCGGCGAAGGGGCTGCTCACCTCAGGAGTCAGCCGAACCTGGCGATACTTGCGCGAGAAGCAAGACAAATATAAGAAGTCTGGCAAAAAGGCCAACACTTCCGATGCAGCTAAAGAATAGAAACTTATGACTAAAGCATGATTGCCTTCTCGATCCTGAAGGGACATGGGCAACCCTAGATGACATTTGTCTGAAGGCATTTGAGGCGTTGTTGCTTGTACGGCATTGGTAGTCATGTGTGTATCTAGTATATCATCTTGAGAGTCCTTAATGATCCGAAAATCAAGGACTGCCGACAGTATATAGAAGGTCTGGAGCATTACATAAGAGAAAAGATAGATAGATGAATAACAAACTGTACAATAGTTGGATTAAGACTTGTCCGTTTTATCTATTTTTCATACTCCGAACAACTGCCGCAGTACCTGGAGCGACACTCCCGCCGACACCGGGAGTTCCGCCGATCAACTTCCCCGCCACCGATGACTCCCCCCGCCTAGTCATTCTTTCTTCCTCTCCCCACCAACATACTCTCGCTCATCACACATCCAATTCCATTCACAATGGCTCCATTCGATCTCGCCAAGTGCGCGCGCCCTAACATCCTCAAATTGCAGCCTTACCGTTGCGCCAGAGAGTGTGTTCCTCCTCCCCACCTCCCCGCTACCTGTGTGACGAAGGCACTAATGAGTCAGTGACTACAAAGATGATGGAACGAACGTCCTGCTCGACGCCAACGAGAACGCCTACGGCCCTGGCCTTGCCCTCAACCCTGAAGGTGCCCTGCAGGAGTCTACTGTGACGGGATCGTCGACGGGTTCTTCCAAGCCAGAAATTGATTTCCTGGGTCTGAACCGCTATCCGGATCCGTAAGTCTCGCTCCGCTCGCTCACTCCCTCGATCGCACAAGGTCCTTCCTTCACTACACACCTGTCGCTCATGTATATTGTGTGATATAACTGTTGTTGTTGGGATTGCTAAAAGAAGTCAATGTGTCAGTCACCAGGTCGAGTTGAAGAAGCTTTTCTGCCAGCTGCGCAACACCCACACCCACACCCAGAAGGACCTTGGGCCTGAGAACCTTTTCGTCGGTGTCGGATCGGATGAGGCCATCGATGCGCTGTTGAGATGTTTCTGTGTTCCGGGCAAGGATAAGATCCTCACTTGCCCTCCCACATATGGCATGTATGGGGTTAGTGCGCAGGTGAACGATATCGAGATTGTGAAGGTGCCTTTGGATGTGGACAATGGTTTCCAACTGCAGCCGGAGAAGATCAATGAGGCGCTTGCGGCGGATTCCTCGATTAAGATGGCTTATATTTGCTCTCCTGGAAACCCTACCGCGAATTTGATCAAAAAGGCCGATATTCAGAAGGTGCTGGAGCACCCGACGTGGAACGGAGTGGTGGTTGTCGACGAGGCGTACATTGACTTTGCTCCCGAGGGCTCGAGTTTGGCTGAATGGGTGACTGAGTGGCCCAACCTGGTGGTCATGCAAACGCTGAGCAAGGCGTTTGGTCTGGCGGGTATCCGCCTGGGTGTTGCGTTCACTAGTCCCCCGATTGCAACTCTCCTCAACAGCCTCAAGGCCCCGTACAACATCTCTAGCCCTACCAGTGCCATTGCCACGGCCGCTCTCTCGCCAACCAATATGACCGTGATGAAGAAGTACCGGGAGCAGATTATTGTGCAGCGGGATCGGCTGGTGCAGGAGCTGCCCAAGATCCCCGGTGTCGGCCGGTTCCTTGGCGGCCAAGAGGCCAATTTCCTCCTGGTCGAGATGCTAGATAAGCCGGCTAGCGAGGGCGGCAAGCCTAGCAACAAGACAGCGCTGGCTGCTTACGAGGCCATGGCGGAGAAGAGGGGAGTGGTGGTGCGGTTCCGTGGCAAGGAACTTGGCTGCGAGGGTTGCCTGCGAATCACCGTGGGAACCGAGCAGGAGGTCACCAAGTTCTTGCAAGAACTGCGGGTGGTCCTGGACAGCATCCTCAAAGGGGCGGACATCCAGTCCCTGAGGGAGTAAGTAGGTGAGCCAGAACTAGGCTTATCAGCATTCGTCGCGTCTAGACTTTTCATGACCGTTTGGTGATATTGTACATTTTGAGCACTACTGAATTATTTTAGACACATAGATAGATGAGAACAATGAAAAGGTCGAGATCTCCTTATCATTCGAGGATGAGAACGTTCCGAGCCTTAGTACTTAATTTCATTTGCATGGATCAGGCCTGCTTATGGGCCACGAGAGAGTTGCTCCCCTGGCAGTTTAGGCGTGTGTCCTCGGCATCGACCGGTCGGGACACCGACAAATCGCCAAGTGCGCATCGGTTCCGACCGTAGGCAAAAAGTAAGTAAGTAAAGGTAAGTAGTACGCCTTATCTCTGTGTCCAAAGTTTCAGGGAATCCCTGGTTTGGCCATGAGGAGAGAACGAATCATATTATGACGGAGATAAACCGGTGCCTTGAGAACTTTGCTTTTCTTCGGTTCTGCGCGTATACTTTTATGTCTATCCGGTCCATCGCCCCAATACTATTATCTCACGTGTAACGAAGATGATCAGTCCAATGAGTGCCTGATGGAAATTGGAATATGTTGTAGGGTTATTCTGGGGTAGAGAACCCAACTGCCCAGAGAGGTATTTGAGGGATTTGAATCAAACCATGGCCAACTGAGTGGAAGGCAGCCAGGCAGTGAGTGGAGACAAAACAGACACTTGGACGTTGCTTTGTTTTAAGATTTGTCGCTCGGACAGTCTCCGTCTGTCTCCTCTTCCACTCCGTCACTCGCTTTTTCTTACTTAACCTTTGTTTTGTTTGTGGGTTGTGGTTCCTGCTTAGCTCCCCTCCTGCGAGGGGAGTAAGTAAGTAACTAACCCACCCAAGGTTCGTTGTGTCCACTCCAACCACCACCCCCCATGTTTAGCTCCGCCCAGCTAATGTACGCTGTCAGTAAGCGGGCCTGGACACTCGCCCTATCAGGGGCTTATCATTTCCAGCTGCTCCTGCTGCTGCTGTTCCATGCTTGTCCACAGGACCGACCTTCCCATGGATGAGAAATTCGGTGATTGGCGTTGGTTCCCGGCGTATCGACTGATCATCGGCCTATCGCCGCGGATAACCTCCTGTTCTTTTCACCGATCACAATGGCCAGTTTGCTACTCTGTATGGAACGATAATCTCCACCTCGCAGGAGTCATGACGCTGGCAGGAACTGTCCACTTACACGATCATGCCCGAAATCAGCTGCAAATCATGTGGCAAACTCCCCATATCACAAGCAATCTCGTGAGCTGGACGATGACTTCGTATCCGTCCATCCAGCCATTCCCTGTTCATTGGCTGTTTTAGACGCCATGGGTGAGCTAGGCACCATTTACTACTAGCTTTCTTCCCCTGCTCTATCGCTCCTCTCTGGCTGGTCCACGCTCCCAAGTTATCTTGGTTCTTTTTTTTCTCCGGGATTTCCCCCCATCATTTCGCGCAACCTGGTTTCCCAAGCCTCCATGGCTACATCCGGCGCCCACCGTTCCCGTCTACGTTATCTTCCGCTTTCCCCCCCAGCGCGAAGTTTATCGAGCGCGCCATGACCCGTAGGCCCATCCCAAGTCTAGCGGATTCTCGCCATGCGAGCTTTAATATATTATGCTTCACCGTTAAGATATAAGTGCCAGTGGTAGAGGTCCCCGTGTTGTTATCTCTAATCCCCTTGTTTGACGCGGCGCTCATCGCGCAATTTACTAGTTGCAAAAATACTTACTTCGTCGCTAATGTGAACTTGCTGTTCAAGTCTTGCTTACTTCTTATAATTACTTACAGTCGACGTCAGAACGGCGGTGTACTTGGCACCTCTTCTACATTGATACTACTCTCCTGGACAGAACTGGTTGGCGAGAAAGTCTCAAGCCTCCCCCGCATATCTACAGATCGCGTCCGAGCTTCTTACTACTGTCATCGTTATTACATTCTTAACAACAGGGACACACTCACGTCCACTGAAAGGAGAAAAGCTCTTGTCATCTTTTACTAGCAGCACCGTTTGCCGATCGCCATCTCCACCTGGTCTCAGGTGTCCTTGACAGCGACCATCGTAACTTTCCGGCTCCTCTTTGAGCTGGCTTCCCCACACCAGATCCGGAGTAGGGCACGTGCCTATCAGGTACCGATCCCAATAGTGAACGATGTGAATGTACGAAGGAACGTCACGGCTTCGTATCAACTGCTGCTGAAACCTACTCGGACATCTTTATTTGATTTTGGGGATAGCTTCCACTTCACTGGCCCCTCTTCGGAGGTGGCACAGCGGCCATGAATGTACAGTGGATGCTTGAATCTCGTGGGCTCTTTTCCGATATTCCTCCGGATGCCCGGACCAAGGAGCAAAACAATCCCACTCTGCTCGTGAGCTGGTGGGCTACTGCCTTTTCAGTAGCCATCATCGTTGTCCGGGTTTGCGGTCGCTATATTCGGACTGAGCGTTTCTTCCGCGAAGATAAGGTGATGATGGCGAGTATCATCCCGCTATTAATCCGCATGGCATGCGTGCATGTCGTTCTAATCTGGGGTACCAATAATACCAAGACCGTGGGCTTGTCTGCCGAAGATATTGATCATCGAGTCATTGGCAGTAAATTCGTTCTTGTGGCGCGCATCTTCTATGCTATCTTGTAAGTTGTCCCTCTTCTCGCCGGGTGTCTCTCGAGGATCAGCTCTAACCGTTCCCCATCCGAATAGCATCTGGATAGCCAAGTTCACAGTATGCGAGTTCCTCAAGCGAGTGGCAGGCAAGATCTGGCGACGATCCCTCCGAATATTCCTCAAATTCATCTACTACTTCCTGGCATCGACATTGTTGGCAGTGATTATTGCTACTCTCGCTGAATGCCAGCCCTTCGACCATTACTGGCAAGTTGTACCTGACCCAGGTCCAAAATGTCGCCTCGGCTATGCCAACCTGATCACAATGGGGTCCTGTGACGTGATGACTGATTTGCTTCTCGTCTCCTTCCCGATTCCATTCATCGTGATGACTCACATGCCTCTGAAACGCAAAGTCTCCCTCGTGATCCTGTTCGCTCTGTCTCTGATTCTAGTCGGAATCACATGCTATCGAGTGCCCTCAGTCATCTGGAACGATGGGTCACAACAATACCGCTCGCTCGTCGCATCTTTGGAAATATTAGCCGCCACGGCGGTCTCGAACGCTGTCATCATAGGCTCATTCGTGCGTGACAGGGGTGCGAAGAAGAATAAGTTCAAAAAGGCTCAAGGATCAGCCTCCGTCAGTGAAAGCATGGATCACAGCTCCGTGCGTCGTCAGACAATCACCCATCATCAGTGGGGAAGTGATTCCGATCTCGCTGCAGATCTGGGTATCCGACTGGACCCGTCACTATGCTCTGCAGATACCAAGACACCCCGTCCTGCACCCATCGCGATGCCCATCCATCCACTGACAGCCCGCGCCGGCACCTTAGACCCCAACTGGTCCTTCAACCAGCGCTCCGGCGGCAGTGAAGACGACCGGGCCTCCAGCACGGGCAGCTTAGACATCAAAGTCAGTCCGCACGAGTACATCGAAACCAACAAGACACCGCGCAAATCCTCCTCGACAGATACCACCAACCTCCGTATCTTCGACGTCGGTAGTCTTCTCAACAATCCTACCCCGACCTCTCCCACCAGTGCCCCAACTCCACAATATTCACGTTATGCCAGCAGGGCAAGCAACGCCTCCACGCAGGACATTGGAGGATCAGCCCGAACACTTCATCTCAATACTACCTCCTCCTCATCCATCCTGTCCCACCAACTCCCTTTACCCTCATCACCCAACTTCTCCCGCCCTGGAGGCCTGCGCAGTAACTCCCATTCGTCTTCCAATCGCCGTCGCGGCTCCAGTGTCCACTTCAGTGATCCTCCCGAATCACCGGTCCCTTCCTATCGCTCGCAGGCTGATGTGTCAGCGCCTATCATTGAAGGGAACGAGGTTGAGCTCCAGGATGTGGGGAGATTGCTGTCCAGACGGTGATTGGTTGCGACTGGCCTGGGATGCTCCGAATGATTTGACGATTGATCACGACGTGCTACGTATATGGATGAGTATATGACTTGTAAATTCTTATCTAATTTTTGTATCAGCTGAGCAGTACTGAGACATGGTGTGTGTGTGCCAAGCTCAGCGTTGGGGCTGATGATGGACGCTATATGTGTAGGATATATGAAAGACATAGTAAAGCGACTAAGAACTGGGCACTGTGAATTTAATCTTTCAACTTGTATATTATATATGACTGGTAGCTTCTTACTTCTTCCATCCTAAAGTTAAAAATTTGCCACAACACGTACCTAAAGTATCAGTCTGTGCTGAAGAAGTCATGAGACGTACAGGCACTATTCTACAATCTCGAACCAGATTATGAGTACTGTGATATGGAACAGAGTATGGCTTATTACTGAGACCTTAACGCCCCTTACCATCTTAGTGCTGCCGGTATCGCCTCGCCGCATTTGAGTGTGATAAAGAGATCGTAGCTGTTAACAACTAATTGGTCTAAGGATGACTTTATAATCCTGTACAGCATGTAGTATACTGATAACGCCAATTCCCTTAAACTAGTAATGGGTGATCAGAATACCTTGTTTCTATGGTCAAGCACAGTCCAAAGAGATATATAATAATTGTACAATTGTAAGGAAAGTGAATCCTTAGTTACAAGGGTACTAAGTTACCCGCCTCCTCCCAGGTATACATACCTGAATATATACTTTAGGGGATTCTAGGGGTCTGCAGAGTAGTATCTGCGGGTAGGTCTTGTTTTTAACTTTTGCCCCTAGAAAGGTCCCTTACAGCGATATATTAGAAATAGCGGTAATGAGCTGCAATAGTGACACAAGAGTATGCTTGTTGATTGATTGTTACTAGTTGGGACTAGGTAGGTAGTGCGACGGTGTGTAACTAATTGGAGTCAGTTGACTCGTTATAGCATGCGGTCATCGAAATAGGTGATTCTAAAAGCCACACTGATAATCTTGCAGGAATTATTTAAGTAATTTAGGCTATAACCTCGTTTTCTGGAAAAAAAAATTTCACGGTTAACGACCTTAATCTCAGGGATCTCTCTCATTTGGGACCACTGAATTCTCTTTGCCAGAGGAGTTTCCAAAGTCCATTAACTTGCGCAAGAAAGTTCTTTTCTCTTCAATGCTCCCTCCCGTCACTGCAAATAGCACACCAACAATGTGGCAATATTACAACGAGAAGTCAGTCCTGGTGACAGGGGGAACTGGGTTTTTGGGGACTGCCCTGATCCACCGCCTCATGACAACGACATCGTTGTCTTATATTTACCTGATCTGCCGAGGAGGTATAGAGTAAGCCGCTCAACACAACCCCAGCGTTATATCATCGCTTCCTAACGCCACAAAAGCAACCTTCGTGCAAAATGGGAGGCGAATTTGTCGGCCCAGGTAGCAGATATGCTATTCGAATCAAAGAAACTGGTGGTCCTCGAAGGTGATGTTACCTTCCCTAGCATGGGGCTGTCTAAACCCGATCAAGAAATGCTCCGTGAAAATATCAATATCATCATTCATGCAGCATCTCCGATCAATCTAGGGAGGCCACTTCATTCTATCTCCCAGGGGATCATTGGGGCTACTGAGATGGTTGTCGAATTTGCGAGCTCATTCCGAGCCCTTGATCGATTCGTCTACGTCTCCACGGCGTTTTCCAATGCTCATATTCACGAGAAAAGTCCTGGTTCCGATCTGGTGATCACTGAGGATTTCTATCATCTGAACAAGGAAGGAAATCCGCTTGACGAACGGAGCGCAGTGCAAAAGTATGGAACGAGTGAAACGTACGAAGCGAACGACTTCCCCTGGGCATATGCCTATGCCAAGCATTTGACTGAGCGGCTACTGGCCCTTAAATTCGCAGAAATGGGCGGGGAAGAGAGGCTCCTTATTATACGCCCTTCAATTATTGGGCCTGCGCAACGCCTGCCTTTTCCGGGATACTGTGTTCCAATGTCATCGCCATGCAGTGTGGTTGCCGCAGGGCTGATGTTGATCCCATCCTGGCGATTCCAGATAGCGACACAAACCCCTACCCCGGAAATCAATAACCATCACGATGTGGTTCCCGTAGACGTGGTTGTTGATCGTCTACTCTGTCACCTAGTTATAGGGACCCAGGGCTGTGTGCACGCGGTCAGTGGAGTTAAGTCTCGGTTTAGCTTCGAGAGATTGTGGCAATCGATCATGAAGTGCCGCCAGATACCCTGGGACCTGCGTCCGGTGTGGATAGCTGATGGATGGAAATCACATAATCAGCATGAGATAAGTCGCCTATATACAGTTATTGGGACCTCATTCGCTTTCTCCGAAGACAAGACGGTCAGAATCAGCAACGAGCTCTCTAAGACGACATCAGATCTGAACCTCTTTACCGAAGTCGATATGGCTGACCATATCCTTGCACAATCACAGCATATACGCTTCATCATGGACCGTTTTTCGCATAAGAGCCTGCTTGTTCAGGTACTAGTCTGGGCCTTTTATCGCAATTATGGCAAACCATGTGCACACTTGTGATGTTATATTGTGTAGACTCGCGTTTTCTGATTCTCAGCAATGGTAGCTAGAACCCTAGGGACAGCATGCAACTGAGGATTACTGCACTAGACCACTGGCCATCTCTCACATGCCTCTCATTTGCCCGTTGGTTTATGGCGATCAAGGATATTCACTGCAGTGCGTCCAATTCGTTCACACTTGCAGCCCTACACACGGTTGTTGTTCTGCACAACCAGGTTTTATCATTTCTGCGTGTTACAAGGACGCAAGGATAGACAAGGCAGCATTATTACGGTACTTTCATACTCTCATGGCACTCTTATGTTCTCAATCTGCCCCTTTGTTTAGGTAACGATGTGGCATCAAATGAACTACAATGCAGATACAGTCCAAGATACCGCTGTTGATTCAAGATTCTGACTGTCTCGGTCTAGTGGAAGAAATGATATAGTAACACATATTATGCAACATGATATCATGCATTCTCTCGTTCTCCTTACTCGACACCTTGCGTCATCAACTTGCCGCTGTGAAGAGAACCATCTGTCGCATACCCCGCTGTCTCTTGCTGGAGTGATACTTCACATGCTTCTCAGCTCTTTGGGAAGAAAGCACTTACTTTGTCCAAGTTTACTACTCTTTTAAGGTGTGTACATGGTAAATAACAACCACATGCGTACTCGTGAATATGATGAGCACACTACGGTATAATGAATCTACTACAAATATTGCCGATCCCTCATTCCTTATCGGATCATGACCCATATAGGAGCGCAAAACTTAGCTGTCAGTCGCTGATAGTGCTTGGTACACCCTTTCCTATCAGACGCCGTAAACTCGGAAAGCAATATGGAGGCTCACAAGCTCCAACCGCGTGGTGAACAAAGAGTTCACATCTCACAGCTCCCGATGACGTGGCGAAATTGGTATAAGCACCTAAACTGGTGGGGAATTATCCTTACTATAGTAGTTCCTCTTTACGGCTGCCTCCAGGCATTCTCGACACCTCTTCAGAAAGAAACAGCAATATGGTCAGTCTTATATTACTTTTGTACGGGATTTGGCATCACTGCAGGTAAGAAATACCTTATGACTTCGTTGTACACAACCATCAGTCCACTGAAGGCAACCAAGGCTATCATCGTCTTTGGGCACATGCATCATATGGGGCCTTCTTACCTTTAAAGGTCTTTCTGGCCCTGTCCATAGCTCACTGGTTAGGAGAGCAACCATTCGATGACCGGAGATCATCACGGGATCATTTGATCACTGCCCTTCTTGCATTGGGAGAAGGGTATCATAATTTCCACCATTCCTTTCCCTCGGACTATCGCAATGCAGAGAAATGGTGGCAATATGATCCGACTAAATGGATTATCTGGGTATGGGGTCAGCTTGGGCTTGCTTATGACCTTAAGACATTCGCGGCCAGCGAGATTCTAAAATGTCGTCTGCAACAACGGCAAAAGCTTCTTGATCATGAGAAGCTGCAGCTTGATTGGGGAATTCCTATTGAGAGCTTACCGGTGATTCAATGGAGGGATTATATTTACCAGACAGAGGTCTCGAAGCGTCCTCTCATTGTCATTTCGGGTATTGTGCATGACGTGTCTCGCTTTATGGATACACATCCTGGTGGCCGAATTATGATCCAAAGCGGTATCGGAAAGGATGCCACATCCATGTTCAAGGGAGGTGTCTATATGCATTCAAAGTCAGCTCACAACCAGCTTGCGAAGATGAGGGTGGCTGTCATATACGGTGGTGGTGAAGTTGCTGATTACCAAAGACAAGAGGAATGAATTTATTGATTCTTGAGACAAGCTTAAGATTGATACGTGTCTTGCTCGTTCGAAAATGCCGAGCAGCGATAATACGACAATAATTGTGCATCTTCATGTCTTCTAACTGCTGCCCGGTGTCATTCATTGATATACATGCCCCTTAATCAACGTTTATTCTAGAAGGTCTTCAATTATTTCTCATATCGCTATGTCGTTTTGGGTTTTCTGAAGGATATATCCCTGCCACAAGTAGTAGTCTACTGTCACTACCACCAGAGAGGGCAGGGTCACCGGTAAGCCAACCCCTAAAGGGTTTGTCCTATGGGTTCTGCTTGTGCTCATGGAATATCATATTCCATGTGAGGATAGCGTAGGCATTAAATATATTCATCCTATATAACAGGTGCGAGGATTAAGTCAGTTGAAACCGGAGGCCGTCCGCCTGGCTTTGTCCTGCAGTTCGTGTTGTCAAACAAACGATATTGAGAAACAAATAAATCGATGCCCATGTGGACCGAGAGCTAACCTGCGGAAGGATGTGTATTTTGTCTTGGCAGTCCTTCAGCTAGCTCTTCGCAATCTCCAATCTTACTTAGAGGGTAGATCTATTCAGTAAGTAAAGGGCAGTAAAGAGTGAGCACTAAAACAGAATGAGAAGATCATTGACTTTTCTAGAAAATCAAATACATATATTGTGGTCAGGTAAGTTTTAGTTATAACTTGATACCATTCAATTTAATTCAACCATTGTATGATTTGTGTAGATCGATAGATTTGTAGTTTAAAACTTAATAGAGGTGAAACCGAAGCACACCTAAAATAAAATAAGACGTAGCATAGACATACATACACACATACACCACCCGTTAAGAAACACACTTTCGAGAGAATTTTTCGCCTTTACGCCATGCTGCCCGATGCCTGTATTCGGTAAATTTTTCTTTTTCTTTTCCTTTCTTTTTCCTCCCCTCGCCGTATTTTCCTCTCCACCCAGCCTCTCTTTTCGTCTTGTTCCTTGCGTCTGCTCTTTTATTTTCTGCATCTGTGATAGACTCTTCCGGAGGGCAGATTGGGCCAGTTTCAAGTTGCTTTGGACCTGCATCGGGTAGAGAATTGAAACGCGTAACCTCCGGCTCAGCAATAAGCATATCACCATAACCGGAGACAACTCATTCTTTTCATCGCAGGACCCCAAAAAGCAACCCACCGATTATATAACCCAGCGATAACTAGCATACCGACCAGCCGTCTCACTTCTGCGAATAATCTTGACGACCTGACCTCTGCGCAGACCCAGGTATCTAGCAACAGGATCAGACACCTGTATACGAGGCAACTGCGACTCCTTCAGACGGTAACGTTCCAACAGACGGGCCTTCTCATCGGGGCTAAGCAAAACGTGTTTCGGGACCAGTTCGTGGCGGGTAATGTTGACCAGCAGATCCTGCTCCTGGAAATGCTCGCAAATGCGGCCGGGCATGCTGCTCAGCAGGCGCACAGCGGACGGCGAGATGGGGGTCTGGGTGATGAACACGCCCGTGTGGAAGTTGTTCTCGTCGACGAAGTGGTTGAAGGTACGCACTTGCTTGGTACCCACACCGGTCGAGTCCGGGCAGAATTCAACGTAGATGGTGCCGCAGTCCGGCTGGGGATTCGGGTTCGATTTGCTAGGCAGGGGCGTGTATTTCGCTTGCATGGCTTCCGTGGGCCGGGCGCTGATTTTCATCTTGTTGCGGCTGTTTGATGAAATATGGGGTTAGATGGGGGTTGACTGGAAGAGATTGGATGGGATGAAGGCGCGCATACTCGGGGTATCCTAGAGGGTCGGAATATTTTTGCTTGAATTCGTGGAGAGGCATTTGCACTTCATCTTCCGTCACCTCGTAGCCCTGCGGATTTGTTGAACTTGGTCAGTGGGATGATCGCGGGGTGGTTATTAAAAGCATCGCTTCGCTTGAAGCTGGAGAAAATCCTTACACGATCCAGAAGCATCTCAAAGACTGTCCTCCATGTGCGCCAGAGTCTGGTCATCTCGCGGTCGGCGTCCACGGAGCCTGCAGAGTAGTCCTCGTCCATGGTTGAAGGGGGATGGCACACCGCGGCGCGAAACTTGAAAAAGGAAGAGATTAAGTGTAAAGGTAGAAAAAGAGCGATAATCGGGCAGATAAACCGATCAAGCCCGGAGAATGCGGAGCAGGAAGCTGTCTAGGCTGGAGGGGAGAGAGGCGATGATGGAAGCAAAATGCGGTTCTCGAAAAATCGGCGGGCCAGCGCTAAAAGCGCCAAACGGTAAGCGCCGCCTTTTGGACCAGCAAAGGCCAGACCAAGAAAAGAGTACCGACTTTCTTCTTCTCCAGCGTTCTCCTTCCATTCCTTCCCCCCTCAACCCCCCCCCCTCCTCCTTCTCCCCCTTTCCCTTCTTCCCGCTCGTTGGAGCTTTCTTTTTTCCCGGTTGATTTCGGTCAATCACGCTCTTTTTGTTGAGTGTTTTATTATTGCTTTTCTCCACCTCTTACCATGGCCGCTGACGCCAAATCCGCTCCTCCCACGGAGCACAAGGTGAAGCCTACTAAGCCCAACGAGGAGGCCTTCAAGGCCGATCTCGCTCAGGCTGAGAAGGAGCATGCCGCTGTTCAGGCCAAATTGGTATGTGAGGATCTCTTTCTGCTTTAATTGGCATCGTGCAATCGCATTTCTCGCCTTGGATGCGGTGACTTATTACCGCTCCGTGGCCTTTTCTCTGCCTAATTATTTATTCGGACTGTTTTGCGCTACACTGCAGCTTTGCTGTTCCGCTCTTCATCCAATCGCAAGACCAATGCAACATATCATCTATCCGTGATCTCAGAAACTAACTACATATCAAAGACCGAAATCAAGGCCAAGATCGAGACCGCCAAGCCCAACAACCAGGACTCGCCCGCCGCGAAGAAGCAGCAGGAACTCCGCGCTGAGCTGTCTTCGATCCGTCAGAAGCAGCAGGGATTCAAGGCTTCTCGCTCCAGCACCCAGGAGAAGATCAATGCCCTCGATGCTACCCTCAAGGCTCGCATTTCCGAACAGAACAACTCTCGTACGCGCATGTCCTTCAAGAATGTCGAGGAACTCGACCGCGAAATTGCCCGCCTCGAGAAGCAGGTCGACTCCGGCACCCTCCGCTTGGTCGATGAGCGCAAGATTCTGTCCGACGTCTCCAACTTGCGCAAGCAGCGCAAGAACTTCGCCGGTCTGGAGGAGGCCCAGAAGGTCATCAACGACCTCAAGACCCAGATCGCTTCCCTCAAGAAGACCCTCGACAACCCCGAGGCCAAGGCTCTTAGCGACAAGTACTCCGAGATCCAGAAGGAGCTCGATGCCATCAAGGCCGAGCAGGACAGTGCCTTCAAGAACCTCAACGCCCTGAGGGACGAGCGCACCAAGCTCCACGGCGAGCAGCAGAAGAAGTGGACCGCCATCCGCGAAATCAAGGACAACTACTACAAGGCCCGCAAGGCCTACAAGGAGTACGAGGATGAGGCCTGGAGAGTCCGCCGTGAGAAGCAGAAGGCCCAGCGCGATGCCTTCGAGCGCGAGAAGCGCAAGAAGATCGCCGACAAGAAGCTGGAGGAGGCCTCTCGTCTTGCTTACACCGACGAGATCCTCACCGCTCAGGGTCTGATCCGCCACTTCAACCCCTCCTACGACTTCGTTTCTCTGGGTCTCGATGAGAAGAAGGACGAGGGCTCCAGCTTCCGTGCTGATGTCGGTCGTACTGTGGACGACTCCAACCTCAAGGGTATGAAGGTTCTCAAGAAGGAGGACCGCGAGGAGGACTACTTCGTTGGCACTGGCGGCAAGAAGGGTAAGAAGGGCAAGAAGGGCGCCAACGGCAGCCCCGCCCCCGGTACCCCGACTGAGGCCAAGTTCAACCTCAACGTTGGTGTGATCGAGGACTTCGCCAAGGTTAAGATTGACCCTCCCATGAACCAGTCGGATGTTCCTGCTGTGATCGAGAAGCTTGCCGCCAAGATCACCGAGTGGAAGAAGAACCAGGCCTCTAAGACCGAGGAGGTGAGTTAGACGCCTTTTCTTTACTCGAGATTCAAAGCTAATATCTGTCCAGAACATCAAGAAGGCCCAGGAGGAGATTGACCGCCTCGAGGCGGAAGAGACCGCCGTCAACGGTGCCACCGACTCTGCCAAGAAGCCCGCTCTCAAGAACAGCGGTGTGAACGGCGAGGTTTCCGCTGACGCCGAGCTGAAGCAGGAGAAGGACGCTGCTGCCGACGTGTCGGAAGAGCTCCAGAAGGCCAGCCTCGAGGAGAAGGCCTAAATCAACCGCCAAGCATAGAGTGTTGCATCGCATTGCATCTGCATCTTGCATCAGCCATGCTCATTGTTAGATCTGCAAAAGCTCGAGACTCGCATTTGACACATTTACACCCTGCGTCATCCTTTGGTTCTCTCTTTGCATCCAGGAGTCGTGTACCCCGACTCCTACCCATCTATCCCTACTAACTCCTCTTTCCTCTACTGAGATATGCCCATTTTGTCTTACGAAAACCGAAATCAATATGCACGGGTATTGGTTTCTTGCGTGATCCACCGTGCTACCAGCGTCGGTTGGTCTTCTACGGACCAAGCCCGGCTGGGTTCCTTTTTTTCCTTTCCTTCTGTGTAATTGACTTTTTCCTCTTACCTTTACCTTACTACCTATGCTTTCTTATTTCATGTCTTACCATATTCTCCTCTCTTATCTTTCCCAGTCCCGAGACTGGCGACAGCCAGGAGCATTCAGTCAGCGATTTGTTTAGCAGCGTGTCGTGTAAGTAACGAATGAGCGATTGGAAAAGCAAGTTGTACGGAATGAATGTAGGACGTTGAGCGATTTTCATTATGATGACTTACCGGAATTGAATGTAGACTTGTACATTATCTTTGTCCTAGTCTTGTACATGCCATCATCTCTATGATGCTTCACACTGATCACTAGCCAAATACCATCTCACCGATCATACAATATATCCATGGACGGTGACACTTGAGCCAAGAAACAAAAAGAGTAGTCAATTGATATTACTATTATTACTATCATCATCATCAATACCCTCCCTGACCCCCCTGCTCCTTCTGACTACCACTACTACTACTGCCCCCCTCCTGCCCTCCACCCCCCTGACTCCCCGTCTGCCCATCCTGCCCACCACTCTGACTCCCCTCCCCTCCATCCTGACCCGTCGTACTCCCCGCCCCAGCCGCCGTCGTTGTCGTCGTACTCGTCTCACTCCCATACCACCCCGCCGTCGACGACGCCCCCGCCACCGTACTAGTACTACTACTACTCGAACTATTCCCACTCGAACTCGTCTGATAAACCTTAAAGCTCTTAAACTCCCAATACGCATTGGTAAAGTTCGCCCCATTCTCCGCTGCCCATTTCGTGCACGTCGACGGACAATCATACAGATCCGTGTAGTAAGTGCTCGCGCCCGCCAAATCACCACAGATATCGATATTGACGATAATACTCTGGTTCTTGAAATGCGAGCTGATATCGCAGTTCGTGTTGGGGAAGTCGGCGAGCGCTTCGCCCCAGCTCGATGGGTCGGGCGTGTTGCTGCTGTTTGAGATGTCGTTGGGAATGGAATCGCGGGAGAACATCCACACGCGGATGCCAGCGGGGCGGAGTTCCATGGCGTAGATCTGGTAATTTATATTAGATGTGTGGGTTGGGGAATTGGGGATGGATTCGGGGATAGATTGGGGATGGGGAAAGAACGCACGCCGCCACCGTTAGTATTGAATTTCTCGCCGTAGGTTGCTTTCGCGCCTGTTACGCTGCAGCCGGCGTTATCGTTGGCGGTGTTGAGGCAGTTGGTGTATTTGGCTGTGCCGGTTTCTTTCCGTTTCACGTCCATTTTGCATCCGCTTGAGGTGTGCAGGGTCATGGCGTTGCCGTGGGTGGCTTTGTTGTTGGATTCCAGCACGTCGATTTCGCCGTGTTCGGGCCAGTTGGATGGGTCGGTGAGCCAGAGGGCGGGCCAGGTGGCGCATCCGTAGGGCGTGTGGGTGATGTCAAAGATGAAGAGCCCGTCGTTGTAGGTTTTCTTGGAGGTGATGCGCACGGATTTCCGGCCGCTGGTTTGGTTGGAGGTGCTGGTGTCGACGCGCAGGACGGCGCGGGAGCTGGAGGCGTAGGTTAGGTTCATTGATGAGGCGGTGTTGCTGTCGACGTAGCTGGTGTAGGGTTAGTTAGGGTCTTTGATGGGATTGTATTATCTGAGGGAGGGGGGGAGGTAAAAGGCTTACTCTACGAATCCGTCTGTTGTGTCGGTGGCTGTGTAGTATTCGAACTCATCGAAGAATGAAGAGCCCGAGTATGTGTCTGCGAGCTTATAGCTCAGGGCAGAGTAGTCGGGGTATGAGGATGATTTCGTGCCCTCATAGATGCCCACGACGAGCGCAACAATGATAACCACCAGACCCCCGGCGACGAGCGATTTCGTTAACACTGACCATGAGCGCGGGTCATACCACGGTCCTCCGGCGCCCTTTGCAACAGTTGCTTTCTGTGCTGTTTCTGCTGCTCCTGCTGCTGCAGGAGCCGACGCAGTGGCTGTATATGGCGGTGCCACAGGCACATTGTGTAACTCGTAGTCGGGGAGACCTGTCCTATCCGAGACGTCTAAACTGGATAGGTTTCTGTAGGACATGTTTTGGGATTCAGTCATCGCGTGAAAAATTGCCCTGGAGGATGAAAGACCCTCTGGGTCCGCACTCCATCTTATTCAAGCAATGACCTGGCAAGCTATACAATAGGCTTAGATCGTCAGGGTATCATGGAGCCCCTTAAGACAGAAAAAGTCAGCTAGTGCATAAGTAAAAGCATCAGGATTCATACCAGGGCTTTTCCATTGGTTTGTTGACCGGTCCCCCGCGGAGCCCGGCTCTTGCAATGACTTGATCGACCCGAAGGGGTCATGCCGAAAAAATGAAGACATACGTAAGCTTTTATTCGGCTTAGCATAGATAAACCAACCGTTATGGCCGGTAGGCGTAGGGCTCGCGGAGAATAGCAAGGGAAATTAAAATGGTGAGGGAACGCGCTGTAGCTGCATGGGATCTACAGGCCAAGAAGGGTGGATTGCGTCTTTCTACCAGGTTTCGAATTCTGACTCGTGCACGAATGGCCCCGTCAAATAACATGGCTATTAAGCATAACAGCTCATGCATGTTCATACGGTACAAAAGATGTTGATATCGATGCCACACATACTCGGTGGAGCGCTTACGCAATGCGGCCATGAGTTAGCGCGTAAGCCACGAATGAGCGGCTGGCCGGCAAGGCTGCGCGGGGTTTGTGCCATAGCAAAAAATATTTGAAGCGGGACGACGATATGGTTTAGTGAGAATGAATTGATTGAATCTGTATTGGTTTTGAGTGTGTATACTTTGTTCGGAATCGGATGATTTGCCTTTTATATTCCTGTTGCTCCGCGGGCTAGAGGTGCCGGAACTGGACTTGTGCTGAGCCCGACAAATTGTGTCGAGTCCCATTATGCATTGATACAGACCCTTGCCCAACCTGGTGGACATTCCAAGGGTCTGATAGACCTCTGAAATCAGGGTTGTCCGGGGCATACGTATGCTCCGTAGCCGACAGACCCGGGCAAGACCCGTTGCCAGAACATATCCATGGCTCGTCTCGAGTAATTACTGTCTGTTTGCAGCACGAAAAAAAGGCACCACACTGAACAGAATCCTTGTCCTGACTGCCGGATCACGTCTAAATCCTCATAGTGTACCAATATCCCGAGCTTCGACGTGGGAAAAGGCGACTACTCGTGTGAAACGGACTGCTTTTTTCAGCAACATAGGCTATCCAACAATGTGAACCCCTATTCGCAAAGTCATTTTCTGAGTTGAGCTCACGATTGGAGAGAATGGCGTACTTACGTGTCGTTGTAGATGACGAATGCCTTCAATTAGGCTGCTGTGGCGGTGCTGTGTTAGCGTGCAAAGTAGACTCCAGACCCTCGTCGGCTCGCGATTAGCCTAGCTCTTCCATGCTTGATCCATATTAGCTTCGGCGCAGTTTCAGATTGGGCTGAGCGATGAGTGACCCACTGTCCGTGAATTAGTCTTAGCACCATTCGGCATGTAAAGATTTGTCGACCGAAGAAAAAGGATAAGGAAGGAATTGCCATTTTAAAACTCTGTAATTTGATCGATCCCTGGGACCTCGCTGAAATCAATTTTGGGGGTTTCTTGTTATTGCGAGCTTCCGGACAGCAGTACAAGGTGAAGCAGAGATGCAAGCGCATCTAAAAGTGCGCCACAGTAGAGCATTAATACTTAAAGGTGAAAACAGATTAAGTTCGTAACATATAATAAATTAGGCTACTAACCATACATTATTTGTGAGTTCATGTGACATTAGAGGATCGGGAATGAGTTACTAGCCATACAGTCAAGAGACAGTACTAATAAGCTTACTGAAAGCACATATTTGCCTATGGTCAATCTGGCTTTATATCACAGCAAGCTAGTACAGAGAAGTGTGAATCAACTGTAATGAAAGCTTGATGCGCCTAGACTAGATATAGACCACTAATTGCGAGGATACAAGCGTGGCCAAACAATCCTATTCTCTGTTTATGTAGATTGAGAAATCATCAGGCTCAGAGAAAATTGAAGAATGATTGGCGTACACGCACATCAAACCTAGAATTCAGCTCAATAGAAACAATCCTGACTGAGTTGAGCAGGACATGCGAAGAACAAGTTGAGCTTCATCGTTGACCATCAACCGAGCTTTCCGAGTCAGAAGAAAGACCATCGCTTTCATATTCTTCATTAATAGAGTGAATAGACGAGTCATTTGATAAGCCGGCATCAGAATCTTTCTCAGCATCGTCCTGTTGCAATTGTCCAGCTGACATCTTGTGTGGATTGAACCGAATGGAGTAAGGCCTGCTGCCAGATTGAGGTCCGACAACTAGTACATTGCTTTGAGCATCCCAGCTTGTACTTGAGAGCCAAGGCCGGTATTCTGGGGGCAACCAGATGCTTCTCTGCTCTCCTAAGACCACCCATTCATCTTGGATGGTTATTCTTGGAGTATGTGCGACATCATTATGAGAGGGACACTCTTCTGTACTGCATTCAACTTCCTCACTCATGGTGGGTTCATTCTGCAGAGATTGGAGAATGAGTGACAATTTCTCCCGTCCCCTTCGACGAAGAACGGAATCCTCAACTCCCCATCGATACGATTTCAAAAGGCTGCATGATCGTATGCTCCATACCCGGACAGTCCCCGTGCTGTTCACCCAGCCCAGCAGTTTACTGTTGGAAGAGAATTGAAACTGAACTGGTGAGTAATGGTCCCGAGACGTCAGTCTCCTCTTTTGCGTCGCAATAATCTGTCCCGTCTCTGCGTCCCACACCATGATGAGCCCGTTGTAAGTCACACATGCCACCAGCTTGTTATCTGGCGAAACAGTCAAGTTGCTAATAGTACCACCATAACCAGGTGCCTTGAATGTTCTTTGATGCTCTCCTATATCTCCATTCCATGTTTCGATCACACCCCCAAATTTTGCTGTCACGAACCGGGAGCCATCCGCAGAAAGTGCCACCCCTGCAATCGATCCAGATTGTTCAAATGGGACTTTGGCGAGCTTTCCAGGTACAATCCTCCATACTCTGATTGTTTGATTGGTAAAATTATCCTCTCCACTGGACACAAGAAATTGGCTGTCTGAAGAGAAGGCTAAATCTTCAACTCTGATTTCGTTACCCCCCAGAGTTTGCACCAGCATACCCTCCCCTGTCTCTTTCACTAGAATTGTCGAGTAAGCTCTGGCTAGTGCAATAAACCTGCCATTGGGAGATACTGCAAAGTTTTTGAATGACTCTGGTAAATCAATTTTGCGGTCCAGTTCCCACTTGTCTCTTTGCCGCCATATTTCGACAGTCTTAGCTGCTTTTAGCAGAAGTTTGCCGTCCCTAAAAAACTTGATTGCAGTCACCCCCCTATGCACAATTTTTTCCTGTAGTTCGCCAAGTTCAGTGTCCAAAAACCCTATGCTCCTCAAATCTATAGTAGAAGCGAGTAAGCGGTTATCAAATGAGAATGAAAGACCCGCCGGTAGCTCACGTTCCGGACTTGCCAGTGGGCTCTGGTATGTCCACTTCAGAGTCCATAAGGTGCCGTTTCTCTGCCATAAATTTATTTTTTCGTCATTTTGGAAACATGCCAGTAACTGGCTGTTGGGAGATACCGTAATCCTCTTTATAGCACCTGGACATTCTACTATATGCGAGATTTCCCATGTAGCTGTATCCCACATATACACTTTATACAGTGTTAGTGCAAGCAACAATTGACCGTCTGGGGTGAAGGTGACGGAAGGCACATCTTTTTCCTCCTTGAAATCATGCGCCGGCCTGTAACTCTCCTCAACGTCAATTTTCCTGACCATGCTTCCTGTTCTTACATCCCATATCCTCAACTCTCTATCTGGGAAGCTTGCAATCAATTGATCGTCAGGTGACCAGGAGACAGAACACGTTTCAAATGCATCTGTGGGAAATGTGAAGGTTTGTAATAAAGACCCCCAATCCTCTTCCAAGCTTGGTACCTGGTCGATCCATTTCGGGATACTTTCTGTCTCTCGCACTAAGCTGGCCTTTGGTGTAAATATAAGCGCAGATACGTAGACTTGGAGTGGTGCGGTCATAATCAATTGTTGGTGCCTCCAGACAAATCGCTTTGCATCCAGCAAAAATTCGAGTACTTCAGGGTTTGACGTCATCTAAGCTTGATGTGTCAGGGACATAGCATAATCAAAAATCAAAAATCATCAGCCTTTACATACTGCGGGTGTGGAGCTCAACATGTCAATAATTCCCACTGTTTCGGGCATGATTTTCATCAAGGCCAACGACTCCAGCCAGTGAAGAAAGCGCTGACGTAAAAAGCCAAGCATGTCAATAGTATCTGTCATAACCTCGCCTTCCTTGAGGTGGTAAGCCCAGTATTGACAGGAATAGCGAATTGCAGCAAGTGGGTCTCGTGAGGGAGTCTCCACCTCTTCTGATAAGACACCATAATGAGGAAGCTGATATACATTTTCTTTCAAAGTCTCCATCATTCCTTTCAATGAGTTTTCGAGAATCTCACGGTGGATGCTCTTCTTGAGAATCTCAGCGTCTTGAGGAGATCCATCCCAAAGCTGGTGCTGGTTCAGGAGTAGCCAGTCCTGAGCAGATTGGTGGATGAAATACACAGTCTCGCCACGAATACTCAGGAACGACCTGCACCCAGTTACATAGTCTCTTCCTGCATTGACACCTGTTTCCATTCCCGTGAGTTGCTCAATTTCCCATAAAGACAAAGGCCGGCGTGCCACCATTGCAACACACAGAACGGTTTTGCATTCCGACCAGGGCAGTTGCTTGAGCAGATAATTGTATAACTCATTCAGCTGCCGTGGGGTATCTTCAATGATTTTCTGCCACCGGGCCTCGGGTGCATTCTCTATCTCCTCGAACACCAAAGAAACCCAAATATACGTGTTGCTGGCTCGTTCACGTAAATGATCTTGAATCCTTTGAATGCGCTCTTGATTCTTAGCTTTGTTCCGAAGCGCCTGAACCTTTCGATCAATGTAAGAGTTTATCCAGGGATTGAGGTTTTGATCATCCAGCGTCAGGAGCGTATGGTAACGTAGTGTGGTTTCAGGTCTGCTGTCTGGAATCTCCAATAGAGGCCGACTGGTAATGAACCATTTTACGTGGGACATTTTCTCCTCGGTAACAATACCGTTCATAAATCGCAATAGTTGCCTGCGCGAGCCTTCCTCACATTCATCAAGAGCGTCGACGGCAATTATGACACGAGCTGAATCTATCAGCATACTTGTCAAAATATCACACCACGTAGCGAATGAATTGCGATCACTGATGAATTTCTGTCCTGAATGAGAGAATTGCTCATCAAGGTGTGAGCTTAAGTGGGGCTGTTGTCGGAGAAGCATCCACACCAGGCTTTGAAGTACTGCAACCCCATTGTTCAAATCTGCGTCGGTGTGTTGGCAGAAGAAGTATAGGATGGTGGGGGGCTCTGGCCCCCTGAGGCACTGTGTTTGCAGTTCTTTTATAGTGCCTATTGAAAGCATTGTCTTTCCAGTTCCAGCCTGCCCACTGATCCAAAGTCGTCTAGGCGCGTTCCCTTCCCAACAAATAAAATCTTTGAATAGCTCAGTATCAAAAATCCAAGTATATAGGTCATCCATGACACTCTCCTTTAAGCTTTCGATGGTTTTTAAGGTAGCCTGCGGATTCACACGGCGTATAGCTTGCAGACGCTTCTGAAATTCCTGGGAGTCTTCCGCTGTCTTGGTGTCCATGATCATCGCTCTCATTTGACCCTTCATGTATTCCATGTCAAAAAGCGCGCAATCCCTGGCAAGAGCATCTTCTGCCTCTTGAATGTGTTTCAGATCGCCATTCCAATCGTCCAGGTCCAGCAATCCGCGAGCCCACACTAGGAACTGATACCTTTTGTAATAGAAACAGACGCTCTTGATTTGATAGAAAAGCAGTGACTCATACAACGACGTGATTCGCCCAGCTATGTCCTCTCGTATTTTGTGTAGCGACTGATCATCTTTTATGCTGTCCTCACATAGAAGTTTGTTGGTCAATTTCGAGTACCACTCGATTCTCGAAACCGCATAAGCTACGCCGTTGTAGAGCGCTGCTCCAGCGCTGACTGGCTTGAGCAATATCTAGTGGTATTGGTGGCTCATCAGTGCCTGTATTGGATGATTGATAGAGGGCAAATACAACTTACATCAACACTAGATGAAATCACGGCCCACGGCAGTGCAGTCTGAGAGACATTCTTCAGAGGAATGTCAAGAATGGCTTTGACCTGCTTGATTACATTAAAAGTGCTTTCCGAATGCTCAATGGCTTTCTTGTATTTCTCAATTCTCGCAAGGCCTTCATCGACCACTTTTTTCATTTGTTCTTCTCCGAGGTGTTGAGAAGACTCGTTCGTTCCGACTGCTTTCTCGGTCGTGGGTTGGTTCAAAAATACCTTCGCAAGCAGTTCCTCGTACCTTGAGACGTATTCTGCCTTTCCTGGGTCATTTTTGAGGTTGCCATAGGCCTTGTCCCAGAGAGCTTTGTGAATAGATGCCGCTTGGGTTGTGGTGTGTCCGTGGTGAGCAGCAGTGCCACTGATCGTTCTGTCATTGATAGCAGGTCTTTCATCAACCCTTGAAATCTGCGTTTTCTGGCTAACGTTGTCAGGAGCGTCGCTGCCGGGAGGGTCATACGTAGGGGGTTTCTCGTTAGACTTTTCGACTTTTTGGTCGTCCACCTTGTGACTCATCTCCTCAACATGTTTTTCTCTTTTGAAGCCCCCTAGCAATGTCGAGAGACACCCAGTCTTGCAGGGAGGCATCATGGGACGCTACGAGGGCTGATTCTTTGGTGTAGTCGCAATAGAATCTCGATTAGTGATGGGGTACTGGATTGGATGTTTTCAGCACGCGGGGCTGAAAGAAGGAAGCTCGCCAGGCGTTCGTTGTTTAATTGATATGTGATAGGAACTGAACTAACCATTCAGCTCAGCCTCGGATCAATGTGGTGACCGCTGAGTGGCTCTCACTGTGGGATCATTGGCGCTAAACATGCAGAAGGTACTTGGGCACCTCGCCAGTGGCCCACATTGACAATAATGGATATGATTAACACCAGCTGAGTTGGGGAGCTTACAAAGTACTTGACTCTTGGTCCCAATAATTCGATCCCGCAAGTATGAAATAATGCAGGCTGTTTCATTGGTCAGGATTTCTACTGACTCTTCAATACTATCTCAGGGGTATATATATTAGTGCTGTGGTTGAGGTATGGCTCGTTTGAACATCACTAATACTAGCCTGTAGCGTACACATACTGCTACTATTCTAAGCCCACCTAACTGCAAGATTAAATCGTGTCAGGAACCACTCTAGTGTCTCTATACAGCAGGAAACAAAAATAGAGAGTTGGTGTGCATTATTACTTGAGTCGTGGGTCTCTCCAAGAAAGAGGAAAAAAGAAAACCAAAAAGATGATCCCCCGAACCAGAATCGAACTGGTGATTTTTCGGTTACAATAATTACCATTACAGCCGAACGCCATAACCAACTAGACCATCGGGGGTTCTTGTTGTAAGCTGCAACTTGTATTGCCATTATATCGAGCACTCTGTCACCAGTAAATACTAAAAATGGCAACCATCGTCAGCCACCACGCCAAGATAAGATATTCGTCATGTTTTCCCCTCTTTCCCCAACCACCGATTCGGTAGCGAAGTCACGTTCAGGGCAGCCTACGCTTCATCAGCAACTCGGATGAAACAAGACGCTGTGTGACAGAAACACTCCAATGTTTGTGTGTTTCGTCTGGCATCACGAGACTGTAGTAGACACATAAGCCCAGTAGTTGGCATCTGCACGACATCTTTGTCCTCCCCAACATCCCCAATTCCGCCCGCGTAGACCGACATAGCCGGTTGCCTAATCCGGACCATTCGCCAAGCTGCCATCAATCGTTGGTTTCGCTCGGCGCTTCTTCTCGTCTCTTTTCCCGACTTTTTCTCCTCACATTCATCACCCTCCCCTCTTTTTCCTCTCCGCACATTCCGCATTATAGAGAAGACTCTCATTCCTACCAGAAGCCTAAACTGCGCCGTCAGGCATCCCTTACCGCAACGAAAGACCGCATAATCCCTGATCATCGCGTCTGAAAGACTTGCGACTGTCTCCTTATCAAAGATGTCCTACAACAAACCTGTATGTTGAGTCAATCTTCTCGCCACGTCTCACTACACCACTGACCGATATTGAACAACAGGATCAGCCTCCTCCGTCCTACCCTCCTCCCACCCACGACGCCGGTCCCTACCACCAAGGCGCATCGCAAGACTACTACCAGCAGGGCGGCTACCCTCAACAAGGCTACCCTCAACAAGGCTACAACCAGGGATATCCGCCTCAGGGCTATGGTCCCCCGCCGCAGCAGGGATACTACGGTTCTCCTCCGCCTCAAGGCCAGCCGATGTACTATCCTCCGCCGCAGCAGCAACAAGGTTACTACGCCGGACAAGACCGGGGTGGATCCTCGGGAGGTGGTATCTGCGCGGGTATAATGGCTGCATTGGCCTGCTGTTGCTGCTTGGATATCCTGTTCTAAGATGAGAGGAGTGCTGTCTTCGGTGATTTTGAACTACTGTTGGGATTTGGTTCTCTGCGTTTTTTCTCGTCTAGATTGGATGCGATTGCCTACTACTACTGATACTGTATTGCCATTCTTTGGTTGGGCGCAAGGATTCACGGAGCACGGTTCGCGCGCGGGGTTTTGTCTGTGTTTCTATATTTGGTTGATTTTCAGTCGGGTCAGTCAGGTCAGGTTAGGTTTGACTGGCGTCGGCGCTTAACGGCGCATGGTCTATGGATGACTACTCGAGTCGGTTTACTTTCGTTGAAATCCAATCATTTTTATATCGGTAGTAATTAACATTATTCATTTCTAGTTCCGTGTGCATGGACATACCCGCGTGCAAAACTGACTCGCAATTCTAACATAATCATAAAAACATCACAGGGCAGGGTATCAAATCATCGTCGAAGGGTCAGGATCAAATCACGTCGACAGCGTTATATAACAAAACACAATAGCAATCCCTCAACACACCCCCTACACGGGGTCCGCAACTACGACCTCAAACTCTCATCCTCCGTCAACCCCCCATACGCCAACGGATCCACAGCCCGATAATGTCCCGGCCGACTGCGTCTCCTCCGCCCATGGCCCCCGGAACCCTCCACACTGGAATGTTCCTCCTCCACCTCAACCACATTCGACGGACCAGACGAGGTAACCGACTCCTCCACAACAATGCGCGAATCTCTCCCCCGACTCGCTCTTGACCTGCGACTCCGCCGACTGCCCCCGCTCTCAACGACCTCCTCGACAACCTCGCGCCGCCGACGTCGCGGTGGTCGTCGCGAAATCGAGCTTCCCTCTTCCTCCACCACCACCTCCGACATTGTTGCCGACGTCGCGGTACTGGGTTCGCTGGAGAAGCGTCGTCCGGCACCCAAGGCGAGGAATATTAAGTATAGGAGGAAAATGAATCCTAGGACGCTGCCGATGATGACGCCGGCGACGGCGCCGGGGGAGAGGCCGTTGCTATTGTAGGTTCCGGGGATGAAGGCGGCAGAGGAGCGTTTGAGGAGGGCGGAGGGGATGATGTTTCGGAGAGATAGAGTGGATGGTTGGGATTTTTGTGCGAAGGGGAGTGAGATGTGGAGGTTGAGGTTTGGTGGTGGTAGTGGTATTCGTGGGATTGGGATTGGAGTCATTGTGGTTTGTTGATGGTGGAGGTGGAGATGAAGATTATTGTGGAGGCGGGGATCAACAGGCGGGTAGATCCAGTTGTAGTAGCAGTAGTTGTAGTAGATGGATATGGTTCATCGAGGGGATGGTGGTGGTGGTGTAGACATGGATGTAGTGGGATAATGACCTCACGATCAGAAAGAAAATGCTAAGAGGCAGGGAATGTAGATGAAAAGAAGAAAAGGATGGAAAAGACGAAGTGACGGGGCGGAACGCATTGACACTGGGTTTGGGGGATTAATCGGTGGCTGGGATGATGGGATGGGATGCGATCGACAGCAAGGCTCGATGCTGGGATTCGCGAATCAGAATGGAGGATGTAAGACACTGGGTACTGACTTTGTACCTGAACAATAATTTGAGTATTTTCTTGGTTTGATTGATTGATACGTTGAGTTATTGTCCTCTCTATTGTCATTGAACGTTGGAATGTGATGGTGGATCAGGGCGCAGATCGGAAATGCTTGGGTGCCTTATCGATCTATGCTGTGTTGCTGCTGCTGCTCCACCGTCTCTTCTCCTACCGCTGTGTGTTTGGCTGCATGTTTACTGTCGCTATTTCCCCACAATCCATCCTCTTACTCGCATCTGACTGATGCATGGTCACATTATTCTATAGTTGACGTCAATGCTTTTCGTATTCTACGCATAAATTCAGTTTCGAGAAGCTGATACTGCAATAGCAACATGAGAAAGCCACGCCTCTTGCTTAGGCAGCCCCTACGCTTAACCGTCCCCTTCCCCTGTTATGGCCTCCCTCTCATAGCCAGCCAGCCATTTCTTCCCCGTCGAAATTCTCGTGTGTTTTCTTTAACTAGCTACAAAGAAACAGTACCTGTCAAGAAAACCACGCGTGTCCTTTACGAACCCATCGAAGATGTGGAAAGGATAGAATATTATGAAGCTGGGGGCTATCATCCAGTTACAATTGGGGACTGTTTCCACCATCGCTATCGGGTAGTTCATAAACTCGGTCATGGTACATATTCGACCATTTGGCTTGCCCACGATGAAGTTTCCAATAGATATGTTGCAGTGAAAATCTGTACGGCGGATTCGAATCCCCTCGAAAACAGCGTGCTGTCTAGACTGTCGCAACCCAAGCAATCGTCACACATAGACCGTGATTTGATTCCTACAATCTCAGATATCTTCAACATACAAGGCCCCAATGGATATCACACATGCTTGGTCACCAGACCAGCACGAATGAGCCTGTCAGACGCAAAAAATGGATCATGGATCAGTCTCTTTCAGCTTCAGGTATCCCGAGCGATAGTAGCGCAGCTCATGATTGCTGTTCAGTACATCCACTCCCAAGGTATTGTACATGGGGACCTTCATCGGGGAAATATTCTACTCCGACTTTCTCGTGACTTTGACGAGCTGTCGACTGATATGCTGTATGAAATGTATGGAGAGCCGGTTCTCGAGCCAGTCAATCGACTAGATGATCAAGAAATTCCGCCAGAGGTGCCACAACATGGTGTAGTACCTATATGGCTCGGAGCCGCAAGTGAGGATGTGATGCTCCCAGAAGCCAAGATATGTCTTTCAGACTTTGGTGAGGCATTCTGCCCGACTCAAGAACAAAAATTCGAGTCTCATGCACCTCTGCTGGTCCGTCCCCCGGAGGCCCGGTTTGAGCCAACCCAGCCTCTGACTTTCTCATCTGATATCTGGACACTCGCCTGCACCGTCTGGGATATTATGGGACAAAGAACACTATTCGAAGGCACCTTTACAAACGATGACGACATGACTAGCCAACAAGTCGAACTACTTGGCCCGCTGCCCTCCGAGTGGCTCACTAAATGGACAGAAATTCGAGACAAGGGTAGTAAGTCGACTCACCAACCTCCCGCATCTTCGACTCAGGCATGGGAGGATCGGTTCGAAAAACACATGCAGCAGTCTCGAATACGGGAGGGAATGCCGCCTTTTGAATCGAAAGAACGTGATGCTTTCATCTCGATGTTACGCTCTATGCTTCGCTTCAGGCCGGAAGATCGCCCTTCTGCTCAACAGGTCCTTGAGTCGGAATGGATGGTGAAATGGGCATTGCCCGAATATGAGAAGATTCGCAATACTGCTTAAGAGCAACAGGTGGAATCGTACTTTCAATACTTGCAGCTTGGGTGGAGTTATGGAGACTGATGACGAGTAGGAAGCCTGTGGTAATCATGTGTTCTAAGTATCAAGAGGAAAGTATATGTACAATAACCAACGGGTCAGCTAATAGCATGCTATTGATTCCCAAGTTTTTCATGAGATCTACGATAGTAGGCAGCGTCGAAACAACAAAACTTACCTCAGGCATTAGGGGTCCTAGCACCTTGTAGCTTTACAAACTAGACTGGAAACCGACAAGAAGCCTACGATAGGAGTACTAGGCAGCTACCAGAAATAGTGACATTGCTTTTGACTCATATAGAATTATTAGAGGACACTCATGGCAATTCAATCCCGCATATAGAAGCCCCCATCATTTGCAATTCTTTTCCTATTTAAAGTATTTTTTTTTTTCCGAGCATAACAACGAGAATTCGACACAGAACCCCGAATGCCAGTAATAGAACTCATCGCGTTCATAGCTAACTAATTATTCCCTAGTCATTGATACTGATATAGTGCGCGTATCCCAATGTTTTTAGCAAACAAATTTCACCACTGAAACCTAACGACCCTGTCCAGTGTGAGCCATAAGAACCGGTCCTGACACTCGGTAGCACCAGGAGCAGTATTATAATCAGCAGTATCAGCACTATAGCACAGGCTCTGCAATTCCTAGTGATATAGAAGAAGAAAATGGTGATTATCCAATAAAGACACATCCGTGGTTTCCAGCGTAAGATCTGTAACAATGTCGGTATTACCCGAAAGTCCACATTAATGAGCTCTAGGACGCTGTTTGTGGATAGTCTTGAGACATTCGCTGATTTATAAGTAGTAGAATGTAGAGCTGCGTACTCTTTCATTCAAAGTATGATGTCTTCCTCGCAAGCCAGTTTTATTTCAGACAATTATGTGATGTTGTGGAACTTTTTGTTCATCTTTATCACCAGGAACTCTAACTCGGTGCAAGTTCCTGGGTCCCACTTCGGGCGAACGATCAATATGTAGATCCTCAGAAGCGAGGGAATTGAGTGTTGTGACAACAAAACGTTTTTCACCCTCTAGATGTTTCAGCGGGTCCTTCTTGGTGATGCTCTGGATCAAGTAACTGGATCCGTCCACCCGGACTTCATGTACATATCAGGTTGGCTCTATGCCCGCAACTCCAACAGCGACCTGAGCTGTGAAAGTTTTCCCAGAGATCAGGCAGGATTGAACTGCTTACTCAATACTTGAATGTTGCAGTATGACCCCGCACACACAGGTGTAATCCTGTGCATGTATTGAGGTAAGACAGGGGTTTGGACAGAGTAACTTAGACCACTTGGGCCAAGAGATTCCCTGTGTTCTCTGTGTACGACAGGCTCAGAGATGACTGGACTGCCAAAAGATATGGTGGCAGATCAGCCACGATTGGGCAGGGCATCTGAAATATGCTTGGTTTACTTAAACCTATTAGACATATTTTTGCTATTGCGCCAGATTCGCCTTTGCCCTTGAAGTCTGCTGCCTGGCAGCGGTGTTCTCTTGCTGGCCTAGGTCTCAGCTATCTTCGGGTTTAACACAAAAGGGGTATATATTGTCCTCCGGGTTTGAGGTGAGCCATATATTCTATACGATATGTATGTCTCAGCAGTGAGCTTCCCCTTCCAGCTCATATCTGTAACAGGTATGGTCGTGATAGATATGGCAACGCCGAACGACGAGGCAAGCAGTATTGGGGAGGTGGGGAAGGAAACAATTTCTCTTGGTTTGTGGTGATTAGGTACCGACGGTCTGATTACTGTCATTCCTAGGGCTTCGATCAGGAGACCCTTCAAGATATCGTCAAGACAGCGGCTGAGTTGCCTTTTCCGTACTGGTCCTCTTGTCAATGTATCGGACGTGCTATTTCTGTGTTGACTTGCTCCATTCAAAAACCCTGACGATGTGATGCATCTTGGATCTTCATGGAACCCTAGACCATCCGTCGCGGTCGCATTGAGGATCAAAACAGCGCCCTCGCCGCTTTGTAATGAATCGATCGTCTTTAGCTGAGTTTCGTTTGGGCCCGCGGTGCCCATCCAGAAGTGCAGGCTAATCAGACCCGTGCAGTTCTTATTGCGTCAGCCCTGGTTCTTGTATGTCCCCACATGTAAAGCTTGATGAGAGGCCCAATGTCACATCTGTAAGCTTGACATAGACAGGCGCACATCCAAGCTTGCTCATGAATAGGCTCATAAGATCTGACAGAGCCCAGTAGGTAATCCAGTCATACATCGATTGAGATATTAGGATCCCTGACCTCGCAAAATCTGGCTCCTGTGTACTCTGTTCGTCGGACACCGTAGTCCGATCAATACAGTCACCGCAGCGATTATATTCCACAGTAATATCGCAACCATTTGACCCCTTGCCGACCTCGGAGACGCTTAATTGTTTTGGGCAGGCTTCGCAGTAGTAGATGAAATAACGGGCGAGCATTTGTCTGACCATTATCCGGTACCGGTCCCTAAGGCAGATATACGGCATGCGAAGGCTCACACCAATGATATCAAATAGTATAGGTGACTCTTGTAGGTGCGCGGAATCAATCATGCAAACAGTTTTGGGTTCCCCATTTGAATGTTCGAATGATAAGTTAAGAGCTACTCCGCACGCACCGCAGGTGCCTGGGTGCTGGGTGTCTGGCATTTTCCTGATCTAGAAGGGATGGTTTATCAGCGACTGTGGAATACAGTAGAATTGGAGTAATCCGTGTTACCATAAGCAGCCTGAACAGCTAATAGATGGATTTCTCAAATCCGCCAGTCAGGGTTAACACCGGCACCACCTTTTGCTGGATACCGCAAGAAAGTTAAAGCAAAAGGGCGATACGGGTGTGGCTTCAACGACAGGAGGCTAATGGGGCGGGGTTTAACACGATCGATGCTCTGGGGATGAGAAGTGACAAGATGAATGTGGCTGTGTTCAAACTGGCTGGTACTATTCCTTGGGCGTGGTATGGCGTAATAATCATCATGTCCTCGGCCGGCAGTGTTTGACCTAGAGAGATGTCGTGGTCCTATACCGTTTTCAAAAAGAAATGGATTAGGCACATGCTCTTTTCAAATATCTTTCAATTGCCCCATGAGCCTCGTCGACAGCCACAAGGACCCATATAACTCTTCCGTTTCTTTGAATAGACGGGTTGGGTGCTTTGACCCATGGTTATGGAAGCTGTTGTTCCTTTGTATCCCCGTATATTATGGAGTAGATCTATCTTATTCTACTCCCTTATAGCTGCCGCATGTGCCTTTTCAGAGGGTTTATAGTATATGTGCCTTCGTTGCTTGGCTTATTGACAACGCCCATTTCTCCTCGATTTCTTCTTAAGACCGCGAGGGTCTTTCCAGCCCCTTTATAGTACTTGTACTCTCTCTCTGTTTCCTTTGGATGTAGATAAGAGACTTGACCCACGGACAGGGTAGCTCTGGTTCTTTTGTATCCCCATATGCAAATATTGAGGAACGCCACAGTAAAACATTGGCAGGATCGTAGCAATACTGTGTGGCTTTGCTAGTGTCCTTGAGTATTGTATTAATTTTGTCACTGCTCGTCTCCTTAATGACGATCTCAAAAGGCCTTCGATTGTCGTTCTATAGGAAATCAAATTGGAGCCTCTAAAATGCCTCCAGGTCGAGGCAGAAGGGTATGAGTGTGGCAGAGGATGTAGGGAATCATGGTTACAATCATGAAGTCTATCTCATAGTCTTAGCAAGACCATAAGATCATCAATACCCCATGTAAATACCATTTATGAGTCCCAAGGCAAGGATGTATCGAGTAGTAGCCTGCATGACGTGCATGTATTCGATCATTTTTCCTCCCAGACATAGTGAAGAGCTTTCGCAAGCTCTGTGATTCCTCAAGAACTGAATAATCCAAGAGCCCATTCAATTGATGGAAATAGCTCTAGATCTCTGGATTCGAGCGACAATGGGATGATGCAGTACCATGTTTTATGGGATGGATAATAGAACATGGAGGACGGGTCATCTCTTTATCGGGGCCCAAACGGGTACGTAAGATTGAGATCGATCGAATGTGTGGAAGAGAAAGATGGCCGATGGGGGCTGGCTGCATCTTTATAATGATTGTTTTCGGTATTAAATTTCTCTTTCTGCTTATTGAATATTTTTCTAATGAATCGGATATAGTAGTCCAGTCTTTCATATGATCGGAGTGAAGGTTGCCATTTACGTATATGCATTATAGAATGGATGTGAAGATACGTGGCTTTCCTCAGGTGGTTGTACATCGATTCCCTTCAGATATAGAGGATAGTGAAGGCGATCCAAGGTCGTCCTATCGCGAAGAAGAAGCGTGTAAGGCTTCGCCTACCTCAAAGAGAACCATGATTTCTACCCGGATAGAGTCAGGAAATTGGTACAAGACAGGAAGCCCTTTAATATGGGCACAGATGCGCGTTATATCAATTGATATTTGTGGGATGTTCCAATCCAGCGCCGGCAAATTCCCTGGACATATTGCAAGCTCAAGATCTTCCAGACTGTTCACTGCAAGCGTGGATGGAATATTCCGGTTGAGTTAATATCTTTCGGGTTATCAGAGGGCGTGAATAGCATTCTGGCAATGAAAAACATACTGGAAATGAATAGTAGCACCTTATACTCATCCACTTATTCGCAGATCTAAGGTGACAGGAGCCAGGTTCTCCCAGAGGGAATATGCTGATTAGAATGGGCCTCTGTACACTTCACAGATATGACAAGGGGATATTTGAATAGGATACTCATCACAATTCATTGAATTTGGTTGATTTTCCAGAGAACCCCGCCTGCTAGTGCCTTACAACCCGGAGAAGAGTCAATGGAATAAACTTTCCATACGCTTGAACGATTCTATAGACTTTTCACAATAATTATGTACATTAATGGTAAAATAAGATAGTCTAAATATATACCGATGAGAGTAGGGGTTCAATCAAATCCAAGAACCATCAGCACCAGCAACAGAAACCCCTCCAGGCCCCGATGGCTTCGCACCGGCATTGCTAGTCTTCCTAGCCCTGACCTTAGTCACTGAGAAACTCCGACCAAGACCCGGTGCCTTGTTCGTCGGCTTAGGTTCGTTGTTATTCTCCGTGGTATCTTCAAGACGCAGCACCACTTCCACAGCCTTGTCATCCTCGATGACCTTGGGATGTCTCGTGGCGAAGTACCGGGCGTACTTGAACAGGGACCAGTAACAGCTGACGACGTTTATGATGAAGAGGACGATTTTGTACGGCATGTAGTAGAGGAGCAAGCATTTCCAGGTGACGGTTTCCTTCTTCAGGCGTAGGTGTACCAGGTTGAAGATGATGACGTTCAGGAAATACAAGCCGTTGGTGACGCCCAACATGATGCCGCAGAATGCTGGTTGGACAACAAGAGAGATCGGTAGGACGAAGGGAGCGAGGAGATATAATAGTGTTTCGTAGACCTGGTTTTAGTGGGTAAGCAGGAGATCTTATTTCCTGTGCCATAGCACATCTTCGCAGTGATAGAACCAACCTCTTGGAAAACAAACAGCTTTGCACCCAGTTCCCAGAACCCGAGGTTCCAGCTGCACAAGATATATTTCATGTTGTACCACATGCCGTTGACAAAGAAGAAATTCCAGCGCGTGAACCTCTGCTTGAAGATGGTCATTTCACCGAAACCTCCTCGCGAGCCTCCTGAACTGAAGAAGACTGCAGATGGGGTCTCTGTCTCGACGAATACGGCGGAGCACATGGTAATGCGCCCACCTAGTCGACGGCAACTATCACCGAAAAACCAATCTTCGGACACAGAGAATCCTGGATGGTCATGGAAGGTCTGCTTGAGGAAGTCGGTCTTCCATAAAGAGATGGCTCCATGCGGGAACGTGGCGCTGCCGAGGATACCGGCAAATGCACGCTGAAGGCCTGATATCTTGTACTCCAGGTCCTGCGCCTGCTGACATAGGGTTCCGCGTGAGGACTCTGGCCCAACGCTCTTAATAGTATATCCGATACATTGTATACGGCCTTTCAGTCGGTCGCTAACGACAGGGAAGTTCGGAGGCAGTGCGCAGTCGTCGTCAATCAGGAGAACATGGGGAAAGTCTTTGGCCGCGTAGCAGCCAACAAACTGGGCAATAATCTTGCTTCCAACTGGACACCAAAGATGGTTAACACCGTATGGCCGGCATACCTCTTCAGTGTTGTCTAATGGCTCTGGAGAGTTGCCGTTCGCAATGACAAAAATGTTTTCAGGCGGAAAGATGTGTAGCGCCGCGTCGAGTGTAGGGCCAATGATATTGGCAGATTTATAGCAAGGAATTAAAAGGGCTGTACTTTTCGCTGAGTTCCGATTGCCCTCAAGGTCGGCCTCTTTGGAATCGCTGTTCACCGGGGGAGGGTTCTTCTCGAAGAGAAGTAACAAGGGAGTAAACGCGTAGCTTTATAGTAAGTCGTTAGTTTTTTGTCGTAGAGACGATGAGCGATACCTACAGAATAGCAATGCCAATTGTGATTCCCCATCCACCTGGGATGACAAACTTGGTACGCACTACGTAGTAGAGCCACCACACGGCACCCCTCCAAAGAGGCATGCCAATGAGGACAAAGTAGATGAATGCCAAGAGGAATATATAGACTGTATATTCAAAAAGGACCTGGACCCAATACTTCCTCTGCAGGGCGACACGCCTTTCTTTGGCTTTCTCGTACACATCGTATATACTGTGCCGGTTTGTCCTTTGGGGAGGCTCTTCTGTCGGCTCAATGCGGGAGATACGGTAACTGTGAGGTCGGGGTGGAAGAGGCCACGCGTCACCCCTCGTCGCCGGAGTAGACTCGCTCAATTGTCTGCTGTGAGCTCCGGAGTCGTCCTGGCCATGCTGCCACTGGACATGAGAAGATCCGTTGGGAGAGAGCTGTGCTGGTTCGATCTCTGCAATCGTAGATATCCCAGATACACTTAATGGTGCACTCTGGCGCCGGAGGCGAGTATCCTTAGGCTTCTGTGGGTGCGAGCTGTTGACACTGGCTGCTCGGCGGAGTTGACCAAACTGTCTTTCCAATGCCTCATTGCGGATGGCCTGATGGACAGGGCCAGGTCCAGACGCAGAGGACTCGTCATCCCGAGCTGCCCAGGGACCATTTACTTGGGTGGTGGCGGCCAGGAGATGGGCAGGAATGACCACATCTTCGACCATGGAATTGCGAGCATGCTTGCGTGACATTTCCCCTTGTAGTTTTCGAATTATCTGGCCATCGAGATTTCTGGATGGAACCGTCCTTTAAAGGCCGGAGCCCGGTGGTACAGCGTCCAGGAACAAATGCCGGTGTCCACTTAGATGTGCACTTGAACCCAACTGAAAGCTTTACTAGTCGGGCTAGAAGCCGGTCCAAGTAATCATCCTCCGGAGTAATACTCATCATCCAGAATATTTTGTCAAGTGTGCGGATCAGCAATTCGAATTTACCAATGGGCTGTGATGACCTGGGTCCTGAAATTGTGCTATGGTTGGACAGGAAGCGTGTCCAGGTCCTCCGCAGAACCAGACAGCAATCGCCACCAGCCTAGAAACATGTCCTATGTAAGCCTGCGGAGCAGTTGGGCTAGGGATCGACTCCATAGAGACTATGGGATCCGCCCCTACTCCGCCGTCCAATTCGAGACCTAGCTTTTGTAGTGTGTGTACAGAATACACAGTAAGGCATAATGCAATTCTTGTATTTGTTTTCGCACAAGACAAGACATTGGACACTCCGCCTGCCGGGAACATTTTACGCAGCACCGTAGACTCTGCGGCAATGGCTGAAGCCACAAAGCTTCAAGTAACTTTCGCAAGAGCCGTACAAGATAAACAAGGAATAACAAGGTCGTAGACCAAAACCAACAAGGCCAAGCTAGCTGTTACGTAACCAGCAAGCACGATGGCTACTATTTCGAGCGGAAGGTGTCGCAATCCACGGAAAGACGATGGCATGGTGGCCCCAGCCCTCAAGTGTCGGTAGTTAGATGGGTCCGTTCCTGAGACATCCGGCCAGTTTTGTCTATTTTTGTGCGATTAAGTTTTGCGCCTCAGTACGTGGCGGAATGACCCGGCGGGCTTAGGGCTGGTCGGTGAGCGTCATCCACGTTCGCAAGATCTCCACTTAGCGGGCCGATAGCAATCTTCGGTTCCTGAATGAAATAACAGGAAAGGATCAGCATTGTTTTCGTTTTTAAGACAGAAAGTGCATCGTGATTGGAAATGTCTCATCCGGTTTTCCCTAGCAGTGAAGATTCTTCTCATTGACTTTTGTAGGTTTGGTACGCGAAATGAATATGATCGCGTAGTATGAAACCCATTGGCGATGATGGTGTTCACTTAGCCAGGAAAAAAACAAACATCACGCTAAAAGTAACGGAAGGAGTCCATGGGACTTTCTAGAATACGAGCTGAAAGGAATGGACCCCAATGGCTGCACAGCGATTTGGAAATAGCATGTCAGCAGGACCCTTTTTCGAATGGGGGCGAGATGCCAGCGAGGATGAAACAGCGGTGGTGTGAGAGGACGAAAGTGACAGCAGAAAGGGTCCAGCTCCAACATTCTGACCTCAAGACTCTCCTCTTTTGTTCAGAAAAGCATTTTGCCAGACAATCTGGATTCCTGATGTCTTGTCTCTACGACGTTCCTACCAGATTCTGAATTAAGAGATATACCATCGAGTGGTAAACCACTTCCATATCATTACTAACATTATCACTACTCATTATGCAACCATCTCCGGTCGCGTCAGCCCAACAATAAGGGGCGACAACGATGTGCCTAAGCACTAGCCTGCAAATCCCGGGCGATCATGTCGGTCAAACTGTTCAAAGTTGCCTTCTTGAAAAGCACGTCGAAGGGAACGTCGACTTCGAAAGTGCGGTGGATGAAGATGCGAAGCTCGGCAGTCAGCATGGAACCCATCCCAGCCTCATTCAGAAGCTGGTTTCCATCCAAATCAGTCTCCGGCAGAAGGATGAGATTGGAAATCTTCTGCGAGATGATGGCGCGAACGGCATCGTGGGCAAAGGGCTCAGTGAACGCAGCGTGGGTATCCTTCACGAGCGACTCGACAGCCGGGGCTGGGTGCATGTACGCCACTTCGGAAGCCATCGTGTAGTTGATGGAGATCGCCGGGAGGTTGAGTTGTTTGGGAGAGGAGGAAGTGTCGGAAGAACGACTTGGCTGTGCAGTAACACACTGATATAGAAAAGTTAGGATGGAAGAGTCCAACTGAAGACCCTCTGTTACGTTATGGGATATTGACCACGAAAATCAAGAAAATATGAGACTGATGCCTAGGGAGCCAATTCTAGCTAGAGGTCGCGTGCGCTTTATATACAGAAGTGAAGACACTACAGTATCAATATCGATGACTTCATGACTCCTTGCGCTGATTCTGTTTTCCGCATCCGTCGTCGATAGATACCCCGGCATGATGACAGAATGATTAGCGACGAAAAAGCATTCCAATAAGCTCTCCGGGTCTTATCAATGGCTGCTCATTCGACGAAACGTTCCACATGAATTTCGCCTTGGAGCCGAGCCCCCGGGTTTCGGGAATGTTAAGTGTTTGGGGATAGCTTCATGTTCGGACGGCCTTTTGCGACAGCAATGACACTGACACAGCAGCGAAGATAGCCTGAATTACTGTAGCAGTAGCATGTGTCTTGGTTGTAAAATGAGATGTAAGGGAGCTTTGTCCACAGATAGTACGACGTTCCGCCGCTTCCGTCCGACATTCCCATACCAGAGTACAGCTCCGCGGATTTTCGAGCTGCGCTCCGCGGAAATTTATACCAGAGGGTATGTCTTTCTTTCGCATTTGGCTGTGTTAATGTTGACCCAGAGAGATAAACCGACATTCCGATCGTGGGGTGGCACTTCTGAGCTTCATTTATCTAGAACTGTTTCGTATTCAGCGGCTGTATTCGAACCATGGAATGGCATGGTTACACTGGCCCAGCTGCAATCTCAGGAAGAAGAATGTTGTCAAATCGCCTCAAAGGTCATAATTGGTACATCTACCGGTCGCATTCATTTGAAATCGGAAGGTAGATAAGTCTATCGAGATCAAATATGTTCTCCATGGTAACATACCCACTGAAAGATCATTAGACTGAACTGTTGATTTCGGCATAGATATCACGAATTCGGAAGGACCATCCTAGCCCTTCGTCGATCATTGACTCTGTGTCCAACTGGCAGATTCTTATTGTTGTCAATTACACCGCTTCTTCATCCTCACTAGCAACAAAGGCATCTAAGCCCTCGCTCGCAGATCCTGGGCAATCATATCGACCAGATGATCAACCGTAGTACTCCTCTTCAGAAGCACAACGAATGGAATGTCAACCTCAAACATGCGGAAAATAAAGGTCCGAAACTCAGCAGCCAGCATAGAATCCAACCCAGAGTCACCCAGAGGCTGATCCGTTTTAAGGTCATTCTCTGGCAAAAGAATAAGATTTGATATTTTCTTCGACACAACAGCCCGAAGTGCATCAAGACAAGACTCCACATTCTGATTATCGCGCAGCGCCCGTGCAATACCCCCAGGGAGTTGCGCCGCCGCATTCTGTGTTTCGCTTTTTCTCTTACCCGCGGCGCCACGGGCAAAGGACGCAGTGAACAATGCCGCGCGAGGATCAGCAAGGACATGGTTGTCACCCTCGAATCCTCGTTCCCGCTGCTCCTGGAGACAGGTGAATTCCACACCGGTGAGGATATGGCTACCTGCCAGGTGATCGTATCGAGAGTCCCATGTACATGGTCTCTGGTTAACGAGAGCCATGTTCATGATCTGGATTAGTTCGTCTTCGTTGATGGGGTGAACGCCTCCACGCTTCATGAGCGCTTCGATGTCTGGGTGCTCGTGCAAGTATCCTACTTCTGAAATCATTCCGTAACCGATTGAGATGGCTGGCAGCCCCAGGTGGTTGCGATAGCGGGCGAAAGCGTCCAGAAATGAGTTGGCTGCGCAGTAGTTGCTTTCAGTTGCGGTGCCTATGGTCCCCGAGATGGATGAAGTCATGACGAAAAAGTCCAGCTGGGAGTCTCGGCCATTCTTCCTCAACGCATTGTGAAGATTCCAAGTCCCCTGCACCTTGGGACCCATAGTCGTGTACCATGCATTATGTGGCATATCACTCCATATAGCCTCGTTGAGTGCCATTGACGCCTGGATCACGCCTCCAATAGGACAATCTGCCGCTGCCACGGCCCGTTCGACATCCTCATAGCGGCAAACATCGCCCCGGATTACTATGATATGGGCCCCTTGCGCTTGTAGATCATCAACCAAGTCCTTTGCCTCGGGTTTGTCAGTACCCGAACGACTGAGAAATATGAACCGTCGAGCACCGCAAGATATCATCCATTTGGATATACTGCGACCCAGCCCGCCCAGGCCCCCGATCATGAGATAAGACTTCTGGGCAATAAAGGCTGTTTCATACTTCTTCGGGATGACCCTGATCTTGGTGTTGGGATCTTGGAATGACACAGTTACTTTGCCCAGCCGTGTGCCTAAGGAGAAGTGCCTGAATGCATCTGTGATATCTGACGCTTCGAATGTCTTGATTGGGAAACAAGGCTCACAAATCTTGGCTCTCATTAATTGAAGACTCTCTGTAAGTATGGTCTTCCAAAGTCTCTGATGGGTATGGTTCTTCGAGAGATAGAGATGGGATAGATCAAAGGCCATGAAAGAGATGTTGCGACCGAACGTGGACATATCCAGGAGGCCATGATCAAGGATGTCACGTTTCCCAATGTCGATGAAGCGGCCAAAGTTGGCACATGCTTCAAAACTGCTGCGCAGAAGGTCGCCAGTCAGGGAGTTCAATACTACGTCAACTCCTTGACCAGATGTGGCTTCCATGATGGCGGGAAGGAAGGATGAATCCCGCGAGCTGAAGATATGGGTTGGATTTAAACCATACTTTTCCACGAGAAATGACTTTTTAGTTTCATTTCCGACGGTGGCAAAGATCTTTCAATTAGCTTAGCCGATTTATCGGAGTGTATTACCGCTGTGCCTGCAGGTTTCTTACCTTGGCTCCAAGATGCTTCGCGTACTGGATCGCTGCCATTCCAACACCCCCAGCAGCGGAATGAATAAGAACGGACTAATTGGGTAAGCTCAGCCTTGCGAGTCAGAATATGCAGTGCTTACTTCTCCTGGCTGCAAGTTCGCCCGATGATGCAGTGCATAAATGACCGTTGAGAATACCAGCGGAATTGTGGAGGCTGTCTGTATATATGGATGAGCTCCTATTCGCTGGTACGGACCTATCACTTACCGTAAAATCCTCTTCATCGCGCAATTTCAGCACTGCCCATTCTGGTAAGCGCTCAACGGTTGCAAAATGACTTGGTGCCATTGCAACGACACGATCACCAATCTTGAACTCCGACACATTGTCGCCCACTGCTGTGATGACACCGGCACATTCACACGAACATGTTGCATCCTTGGTGTCAACCTTCGCGCTGATGGCATACAGATCCTATATCCTTTGTTATTGACAGCGCTGATAAACTCTAAGCGTGAGATATACCTTTGCGTTTATACCCACACTCTTCACGCTGACCTCCACATAATCCGGATGCAAGGAGGTTGAATAGCCTTCCTGTACGAAATGGATCGTGTCCATGTGCCCCGGGTCCTTGATATCTAATTTGCATCTTCCGGCAATTGCTGAGGAAAGATCCATGGTTTCGTTGTTCTGCTTGAGGCGGAAGGTTTCATTCAGACGCTCGTCTGGTTCCCAGCGCGATATATGGAGGACGCCATCTCGTTGCGCGAATTCGAAGTCTGGCTCTTTTTCATGGATCAATCGATCCAATACATTGATGATGTTACGTAGGGTTTCTTCAGATGATGCTGATTCATCGTCCACATCTAAAACCGCGAATTGAAGTGAAGGCTGTTCGAGCATCAGCGCACGGGAGAGCCCTAAAACCGGCGCGAAGTCGGGCTTCTCTCCATCGATAAAGCCGCCATTGACGACCCATACAATCTTGGCTACACGATCGGTGATATTTTTCAGCAGTGCCATTTCACACTCGTTCATACTGATCAGAAGCGGCTCCTGCTGTTCTAAAGTGGATAAGACGAATGCCCGGTCCGGAACGGTTGCGGGGCTGACCTGGGACAAGCTAACGATAGTGACGAGAGATCCAAGGTGTTCTTGTAGGATCTTTTGGAGCTTTATGTCTAGAGGTGTGACTTTCTCATCTCGGGTTATCTGTACCCTTGTCAGAAATAGACGCTTTTAAAGTTGGTCGAAATAGCTTACCACGACTGTCGGGGTTTTGATGATCTTTCTCTGGCTAACGAGGCCCTTTATAGTCCCAACTGTGACGGGGAAAGAATCACTTCCTCCTATGGTCTTTGTCCAAGTGATACCGTCGCTGGGAACATCCCCTATCGTGATGACAGTCGCCCCGGGTGTGAGTCTGCTGACAATATCCGGCGTCCAGAAGCCAACCTAGAGCACGTTAGTGTTAGAGTATGTCGGACTTGCGTAAAGCTAAACATACCGAGGGGACGAAAATTATATCGAACTTCTTCTCTTGCGGGATTTGATTCGAATAGTGCTCATCTTTTGTCTCCGGGAAACCCCCCACGCCGACTAGATCGCCGTTTACCAGGACCCCACAATGATAGGAATTGTACCTTCTGAAAGAGGAGTGAACACCTAGTACGCCACGGACAAACTCTGAAAGCTGAGTTTGACTCCCCAGTTCGAGGATGTTGCTATTACAACGTTGATGACAGGCCAAATCCAGGACACCGACCAAACACAGCACGTCGTTGGTCGCTTTATGAGAGCCGTAAACCCGAGTGAAATGTTCCAGATAATTATCAAGACCCCAATTAGTCAATGCGGAGAGATCTGGCTTCCACGCAGCTCTCAGCAGGGGATTGCGTTTTTCAGTGTTTTCCGCCCCCCTGTTCCCTTGATAGGCAATACAGCGAGCTTGGCTCATTCTTATCAACACTTCTCCAGACGAATTAAACAACTCTGCATCGATTCTATGCGTTCCAAAACCCACGACCTCTGACTTGGTGTCAACATACCATGGCTTATTCGTATCCATGTCAA